TTGGGTGGGTGGGTGGGTGGGGGAGGGAACAAGGGTGGGGGGGAGGGTGAGAGAGAGCTGAAGACCCACACACACATGAGTCACCCTGCTGCTCCTCCTTGCCCATGCACAGTAGCGACCCTGAACGCACAAACATGGTAATGGCACAGGTTGGATGGGTGGGTGGGGGAGGGAACGATAGAGGGGTAGGGGGAGGGCGGAGGAGCCATAAGCACCTGTAGCTCGGACTTGTTCGCGCTGCTAGGCAGTGAGATGGAGAGCCTAATCGCGTGCCTCCCTTGCAGCTCGACACATCAGTTTCCCCCGTCACCCCCTCTTTCACCCCACAAATCCCATAAGCCCCTGTCGCTGGGACTTGTTTACGCTGCCAGACAGTGAGGTGGATAGCCTAATCACTTGCCTCCCTTCCAGCTCGTCTCCATCCGAGTCCGCGTCATTCCCCCAGTCATTGATCCCCCAGGCCACCCCCACTTCCCCACACACATTTCATGTTTGAGACGTCTCAAAAACCCGCACATCCCATGATCACCTGTCGCTCGGACTTGTTCACGCCGCCAGACAGTGAGGTCGACAGCCTAATCGCTTGCAGCTCGTCGCCATCGGAGTCCGCGTCACTGCCCCAGCCATTCATCCTCGGGTCACCTCCACTCCCCCCTGCTTGATTACTTTCTCTTCCTGCTCTTCCTCCTTCTCTTCCCCCTGCTTCTCCTCTTTCTCTTCCTCCTCCTTCTCTTCCTGCTCTCCCTGATACTCCTCGTCGCCTGCTTTTTTCTCGCGCAGAAGCGACTCGGCTGCTCCCCCCTCTGCCAGGAATGTTGTTCTCCTTACAAGCTGATTTCTCGCTTTCGTTAAGAGATGCCAAGTCCTGCGCTGAACCGGCTACGGTTATCGCGTCAGCTGCTGCAGCTTGAGCCGCTGCTGCTCCAATGGCCCAAAATACGCGCAGGAGGCAGGTGAATGAGACAATAATGAAGGAGATTGTAACGGTGCTGGAACATTCATTCTTCTTGCACTGTACACCTGTGGCGAAAGAAGTTCCAGCAACGAGCAGAATGAGTGGCAGAAGGATCAACGAAATCGTCCGAAACCGGCGAAGCTCGCTACAGCAACCGACGCCTCTACGCCAAGTCCCCATTTCGTCCGCATGAGAAGAAGTTGAGCGACGACTTGATTTAGCCCAGTAGGATCACACCATTAAGAGAAGTTGAAAGCCATTGACGGTCTTACATCAACAGTATCTACAGGACCTTCTTGGATGTCTTTACTACGGTCACGTCAACCTTCTTAGGTGACTGACAAAATTTCAAAGCACGGTACCGTCAACCTAGTGGGAACCGCTTTGGAAGCTGGGTCCCGAAGCAAGGAATGTGAATGAATGAAATGATGCTGCTTGCCGAATTGCCACCTCGAAACTGATCATTTTCCTGAAATGCTGTGTTTGTGAAGTCTGAAGCAGGCTAGAGCTCCAACGACTTCGTGCTGCGGATTGTGAGGCTCACATTCGTAGCCTGATGCGGGCCCGAGCTCAGCTACCCTCCGGCTTGCACTCTCCGCGGGGTTGGATGCGGCTTGGTGCAATACAGAAGCTTGGTTGAGAGCCAAGCCTATTTCTTTCTCGCATTTGTCCTCGCTCGCAACCCCAAACATGCATTTGTTATCTGTGTTGGTGCGCGTAGGTCTGGAGTTGCAGCTACATACAGCGCTCGGAACCAAACCGAGGTAGGTCTCGGGGCACCGCTCCCTAACCAATCCCTAGGTGCGTCACATACTCGAGGTTTGGGAGATGCTGACAGGGGACATCGACGGCTCCTCCCACGAATCGACGGTTCAAATGACGGTTGCAAAAGTTAGGGCGTGTAACTTTTTCTCTTTCTGACCGTCCGGACGGCCACTGTCCGGACTTTTAAAGGGTTACCAACTTCGGCAAAAGCGTCGACGAGTCAAAGACGAAGCGAACAGTCACGATATTGGTAATCCTACAAAAGTACGGACGAGGGGCAGTCCGGACGGGCAGATTTGGAACAAGTTACACGCCTCTCACGGTTGCAATGACGATTGGCTGTCATTGTCTCGTGTGCCCCATTTCGTCAGGTGAACGAAATCTGGTCAGCTGATGGTGACTAACGAGGTTCTCGAAACGTTATACGAATTGTGTACATTCCGAAGATGCAAGCGAAGCTCGCATTGGTCAAGCGGTAACCGGATGGGGAATTGAGGGCTCCAGGCAGATCCCCCGAGAAGCTGTGTGGAATTGCCAGGGGAAACACCTGAATGGGGATGTCGCACACTCGAGGGGAGTGGTAGTAAAGAAAGCCCAACGAAATTGTAACCAGCTCTTTGCGCAGCCAAGAGGTTAATCGTTCTGTTTCGCACTGAAATCGAAGGTACAGCAGTGCAGTTTATCCGTTCGTGACCAATCGGGATGTGACCAATCGGGATACGAGGACGGCTATTTCGTGATCTTGTCTTGGAATGCTGGCAAATTTAGGTTGGGAAGACTAAATTGGACTCGGAATGCTGGCAAACCCATGGTTATGGCTCCCTGTGTGATGGGTAATGCGGCGTATGGCTCCTTTTCCTGCGCGACAGCGTCATGTACACTTCTGTTGGCAAAATCAGTGATATCTATCAATCAAGCAACACACATCAGTGATTATATATGCTCCAGCTCCAGTGACTCAAGTTTCCAGTCGCATTTCAACTCTGGTTCTCCTCGCTTCACCGACAAAGCTCCTTCAACTCCATACCGAAATTACTAGGTCGCAATGGCTCCTTCCGATATCAGCTCCATGCCTCTTCCTGAGCCTGAGATCTTCGTCGACGTCGCCATAGCGGGGGCTGGACTTGGCGGTCTCGCGCTGGCAGTCGGTCTGCAGGAGCGAGGCTTTAAGTCAGTCATACTCTTCGAGGCCGTGCCTTACTCCCGCTCCCACACCGGCACGGTTTTCGGCATCTCTCCCAACGGCGTCACGGCGCTCGAAGGGTTAAAACCCGGGCTCGGCGACGCTGTGATTCGCTGCGGATCAACGATCACGCAAATGAGGCTCGTTTCTCGAGAAAATCCGGAGCGTACTGAATCTGCATCGGCCACTGCTTCAAGCGGCGGTAATAGCAGCAGCGGCGGTTTCACCAGTAACGACACTGCTACTAATGGAGCTGGTGAAAATAGTGATGGCTGGGTTGTGAAAAAAATGCCTAGAAACCTGACAATCGTAGGGTGGGCGCGAGCCCAAGAGGAGCTTGCCTCGTCTTTAGTAACGCGACCCGAGATTATTATGCACGGACACCGCGTCGTGGCGTATTACCCTGTCGTCGCAGGAGTGCCCATTGCGAACAGGGGTGCTGAATCGGGTAGCACGAATGGTGGTGCTGGCGAGGGAGAGGTGGAAGCGGTTGACGTGGTGCTTGAGGTCGTGGGTTCGAATCTCGAAACCACAGGAGCAGTGCAGATCCAGCATCAGCTGGTGGTTCGTGCGAAGATTCTGGTCGCAGCAGATGGCCTGCGATCAGCTGTGCGAAATCAAATGATCGGCGACTCGCCACGATATTTGGAACAAATTGGTTGGAATGCGCTTGTTCCAAATCCGCCGAGTGCGAGAGTGTACCCACAAGAAGATCAGGAGTTGTTATATTATATGGATGAGGTTATGGGTTACCAGCTGTTTCTGATTGACATCGGCCACGGGAAGACCTTTTGGCAGGTATGCTCTTACTTTGCATGCGGTGGTGTAATTATTTTGCACATCTTTCCTGTGAACCTGTTATTTTCTTTTCTACACTGTTTCAACCTAACCCAGCAGAAGATCCTACCATGGCATTTTTAGCCTATGCATCGCTTTTCACCACTTTTGAAATTCGCTCTACCCAAACCATCTTCCCAATCGCAGGTACGCGTTATTGACCCTGATAGCAAGCTGAAGCCCGAGCTCAAACTTACACCCTTTGGGGGATTCGGGAAACCAGGTGTCAAGGACCGTTTGATGTGCCATGTCAGCAAGAACATTGCAGACCCATCAGGCCATGACATCTGGCATACCGTGCTTCAGGCGGTTACCACGACCGACCCCGGTAACATCTACGAGCGGTGGATGATGGACCGGCCTCCTCCGAAGGATTCTTGGAGCGACCCCAAGTGTGGTAACAGGGTTGTTCTTATGGGGGATGCTGCACATGCCATGCACACTGGCCCAGGGCAAGGAGCTCAGATGGCATTTGAAGATGCACACCAGCTGTCCATGTGCCTTGCTGACGTCAAGGATGTCCTTGCCGAGCCTGCTGCCGTGGCTGCTGCGGTTCGGGAGTACGAGGCTCGTCGGATCGACAGGTGTGTGAGAGTACATGGATACGCCACTGCAACACATGGGTTCGGAGAGGAAGGGAAATTTGTGAAGGCTCTTTCTCCGTCTGAGAAAATGAAGAGGTTCATGGAGTTCAGGAGTTGGGTCCATGCGTATCCAGACAAGATAAAAGGTGACCCTGAATCCACCCACTTCAAATGATCCTTCAACTGATGCTACTCATCCAGTCTTTACGACACAAAATACCGTAACCGCGACTCAGAAGCCGCTGAATTGAGTGGGGTTCAGGATGGATGCCTTGCAAGGACATAGTGTTTCTTATAGTGGATGGTGTTATAGTGGTAGCTGGATTATCATCTCTGGTCCTGGTTGGATTGGCTACTGGGATACAGTAGTTGGGTCAGTGTTGCTGGAAGAACTCATTGCTGGTTTGTCACCGAGTACACCGCTGTACAATCTAGTTTCACATCTGAACTTTCCTGTAGGAACTAGATAGTACAGCAAGCGAGCTTCAGAAAAGTTCTGTTCTGACTGAGGATGCTTCTATCGTGAACATTCATTTTGTAGTTCCGTTCTGTTATGTTCCCCCGTGAACTCCTCCCATTCGATGCACAATTCGCACTTGCTGGGCACCTTCTAGCCTGGAGAACTCAATGGTAGCTTCAATAAATTGTTCCTCAGACTGAACATTCAAGAGTCACTTTATTGGAAAAAGGTGAAATCTGGATCCCCATCGATCTTGTCAGGATAAGCATACATCCACCTCGTGAACTCCATGGTAGTTTTCATCTGATCCTCCACGCTCCTCCTCTTGAACTCCCTTCCTTCCTCCCCATACCCAATCAGCCCAGTTGCATGCCGATGCACCTTCACACACCGCCCAATCCTCCGAGACTCAAACTCCCGAACTGCCGCAGCCACAGTAATAGGCTTGGTAAGCAGGTCCGGATCCCCCGCCTCACCCAAGCACAGGGACAACTGGTGAGCATCCTCAAACCCTGTCAGTGCCCCCTGCCCCGGCCCAGGATCCATGGCATGAGCCGCATCCCCTATAAGAACAACCCTGTTACCGCATACAGGGTCGCTCCATGAGTCAGCGGGCGGTGGACGATCCAGCTGGCGGCGCTCGAAGATTAGATTCTCCAGGGTGGAGGAAGCTTCTTGGAAGGCTCGTTTCCAGAGCGGGTGGTGGGGGAGGTTGGCCTGGATGAGAGGGAGCAGGCGGGCTTTAATGTTCTGCTTGCTGCAGAAGCCTGCAAAGGGGGTGTCCTGGAGTGTTGGGTCCATTTCATAATCAACGTACCGCACCTGAAGGAAGGGAGAGGAACAGGGGATGCTTTTTAGGCTTAGGGTTTGTTCCAACTTCCAAGACCTGCCACAACAGTACCTGCCATAACTGTAACTGCCACAATTGTACCTACCACAGCCATACCTGGCATTCCGTACCTGTCACTACTGTAGCTGCCAGTACCATACATGCCAGTCCGTACCTGCCAGTACCATACATGCCAGTCCGTACCTGCCAGTACCATACCTCCCTGGACTATACCAGCCCATACCTGCCAGAATCTCTCGCCGTTCTTCAAAGTGATGAAGATCGCACTGTATCCCGTCACCTCGTCAATCAGGGCCGTCAATTCAGGAAGAGCAGCCTCTCTTGATGCATTAGCAACCGTGGATGATAATTCTCCTGAGCTGCTGACGTCAGCTGGGCTGCTAGCATCAGGTGCAGTGCTGACATCACCTGCGGTGCTGCTGACATCAGCTGGAGTGCTGCTGGGATCAGATGGGCCACTAAGGAACGAATTCCATGCGATCTGGTTGAGAAACCGAGGTGAATCGCCAATCATTTGATCCCTCACGGCTGATCTCACCCCGTCAGCTCCCACCAGCACCTTCGCCCTCACAACCACTAATTGCTTCTCGCCAGGATTCGAACCCGCGACCTCACACACCACATCAACCGCCTCCACCTCACTTCCTTCCCCATCTTCACTTCCCTCTCCACCTCCCCCTCCTCCCCTCAACCCCCCCGCTCCACTCTCTCTTCCCGTTCCCCCCGCTTCCCCTGATCCTCCCCCCCTTCCCGCGCCCCCCGCTTTTTCCCCCTCCCCGCCACCCCTGCGCTTAAACACAGGGCGGTACCCCACCACGCGATGCCCACATCGCACCAAATCAGGCCTAGGGAGCGCTGACGCGAGAGCCTCTTGGATGCGCTGCCAGGGCACCATGTTCAGCCCCGCTACTTCCGTCTCCGCCACCATCCAATCAGAACTTAGCGCAGCCCCGTCGTTCCCAACCACACTTCCGCCATCTGCCCTTGCGCCACTGCTTCCCCTTCCGCCGCTTTCCGAGCACCCACTTTCCCCCGGCCCGCTTTCCGCTCCGCCTGGCGGCGACGGCAGTGGCGGCGGCGGCTGCGGCGGCCTGCGCCGGTTGTAGAGCCTCCGCCGGTTCACCAGCGTGCCGTGTCGCGCCACGGAAGCGCTCAACCCGGGCATGATTCCGTCGAGGGCGGCGGCGCCGTTCGGCCAGATGACGAGGACGGTGCTGTTGTTAGATCGCAGCGCGGGCGCGGCCTCGAAAACGGCCGCCTCGACGCCGCGCGACTGCAGGCCGGCGGCGAGCGCGAGCCCCGCAAGGCCGCCGCCCGCAATCGCCACGTCCACATGGAATGAGGGCGGCGGAAGCTCCGCCGCCGGGATTGGCGCCGCGTTACGCGCTGTGTTAGGCGCGTTTTCGGCCGCTGGATTGGAAAAACTTCGCGGCTGCGTGAGCCTAGTATCGCCGGCGATGCGTTTTTGGTTATCATTATGAGTAATTCTGAGGGCGTGGTAGTGGCGACGTCGCATCGCCATGCGAAGACATTGATCCGTCATTCTTGGTCGCTGGGCCCGAGTCGCGCACGTGGCGACACGAAGAGCAGAGAGTCCGACGGCGGGCGGGGCGGAAATGGCTGCCATAGATTTGAAGGTTAGATTCTGGAGGTTTGGACAGGAGTATCCAAAGCTTGCAATCAGAAGGACTCAAGGAGGAGGTGAAGGAGGAGGTGTGGCAGCAGTGACGTGACGTCCTAGAGGATTCCTCAGGACGCGGTAAAAGTGCTCGATCGAGGGTCCTCAAGGATCGACGTGCCGTGCTGCAACTCGATAGGGTGAGATGGTGGGAACATGTCGGCGTATATGTCGGTAAAATTGACGTGGCTGTCAATCGGGGGATATGTCGGCTGTTTCAAGCGCACGGATCGACTTTTGCCTCGCGTCGCGGCTTTCCGAAGCCTTCGTCTAGCGGGACGCGTTGGGGACTATACGCTTGCAATGCAACGCAGTTACAAGTTGGAGTGTGACATCTTGGCGGTGGAGGTAGGGAGACGCTGGAGATGGGAAATTTGGGATGTGACGATGAAAATGACAGACAGCAGCAGAAGTTGTCCCTGCAGGGAGATAGGGGGCGATCCGGTTGGTTTAAGAGCGTTTGGGAAGGGTAAATTTTAACGTGGTAAAAGTGGGAAATCGACCACCTCAGGGTCGTTTTTTAACGCGGTTATGAACGATTTTGTACTTTTCGTATTTAAAACGCAGGGTTTCAGTGCGATGACCGGACCAATCTCCCCCCGATCGAGCACTTTTACGGGGTTTCAAGTTGGGGGACGTTTAGGGCGTTTACAGAGAGGGGATTGCAGTGGAGTATACGTTTTTAATTTGGTATGTAAATAAATTATAATACATGGATGGTGCTGAGGAATGGCCTGGAGTGGCTCAACCAGTTTGACTTCTGTTAATGAACGAATAAATAATAATTATGTACAAATAGACCATGTACAGAGGTGATATCTATGTACAAGCCTTTTGTTGCATGACATAGTAACTAAATCGAGACACCTGTATATTTATACACTCTGCTTGAGGACGAGGATTTTGAGTCGTGTCTGCACTGCAGCTACACCTGCCAAGTGCTGCAGCTTGAAATAACTCCTTGTCCTTGACAAGAAACCTACGGTATTCAGGATGGTACGGTAACACAAAGCAATACCATGCATCATTGTTCTCTGCTGTTCGTACTGCATAACAATCTCCATTGCTGAAACAGGTACAGAGCACGCTTATTGCAGTAACGACGATTGAAAGTAGTGAAGCACCTGACTTCAAAATGGCTCCTGTAGTCTGGACTCTGGTGCATGTGGAGCGACAGAATTGTCGAGCTTCAAGATCTCTCAAGGGTTTTGAGACGTCTCAAAATTGTAGACGAATCCACTGATCTGGTTGGTGCATGTGCAGAAGCGGGGTAACTCAGGAGAAAAATACCGTACAAGGTTCCGCCTCGTATCAGAGCAAAGGCTCTTCTCACATGCCGTTGCTGCTTCTGCTTCAAATGCACCCTCTTTCTGCTCCAATGGAGGTGCACCAGTTGCACCACTATTGGGAAATTCATGATGGATTGGCAGCTGCATACACAGTGGGACCCCTTGAAGACGTAAAGTGCTTCTCTGTACTGAGGATGAGCTAGGCTCCCAAAAAGTGTGGGCAGTTGGGTCGCGTAACAAAACTACTAAAGAAAGTGGTGTACTTTGCAGTGTAGCTTGTCAGGAATTATACGACAACACACAGTACTGCTGCTTTTCAGAAAGTGTACCCGTGAACTGTGTCGAATGGGAGAGGATGGATGGGGACAGGAAGCTGCGAACGGTGCTGTGGGAAAATGAAGAGATCTGAAGCACAAGTCTTGACACGTCTTTAAAGCACAAGTACGGGGAAGCTGGGGCGAAAGGAATTTTGGGAGAGGAGAACGTGAGGGGATGGGGGTCCAAAATGTTATCCGGAAATGGCTGGTCCATTGCCTTGCGAGAGGAAAGCTGAGTCACTAGTCAACCAGGCATTTAGTTTTGAGGCTTCTCAAAAGTCAATATGAGCAGAAACAGAGGAGCTGTTGTCTTGCCTCTTCGATCGGACATGGAAGATTGTTGCCGAGTCCTGTTTTTTTCAGGTTTCAGTAGGTCGATATTTGGTTGACAATCGCTTGTGATTCTGATGCTGATGCGGATGGTTGGTGCCGATGCTGGTGCCGATGTTGATGTTGATGCTGGTGCTGATGCTGATGCCGATGCTGTGTGAGTGGGTGGTCAGTTGAGGTAACCTCGGCACCTGGAGGAAAGAAAGGAGAGGAGAGGGCGAGATTGTGTGAGAATCGTTCGAGTGGAGTAAGCAAGAAGTAGCCTCAACATTTGGAGAAGGAAAGAAAATTGTAAAACGGGGAGATGCATGCACAAGGGAAGACTCACTTGTTGATCACGAGGAAAAGACCCCTGGGAGCAATCAGAAAGATGAACTACATGAACTACTTAAAGGCTCACGGTTCACCCCAAAGATGAACCACCATTAGCAGCGTGCAGTTCCACGAAAGAAATCGGCTCTTCCAACACCATTAGCAGCATGCAGTTCCAACACCTTCAATCACGAGTGTTGGAAACCTTTGCCTTGGCGGAGCTAGCACTGCAAAACGGAGAGGATTGTTGAAAACCTTTGAGACGCCTCAAAGAACTGGCTCTTTAACAGAGGAGACTCACTTCCTGGAGAGGCAGAGGCAGGGAATCTTCGCATCGCCCTCGATCGGGAACTTGCAGTCGCAGCTGATCTCCTCTCCGGCTTGAATCACAGCAGAGCAACTAGAAGCAAAACCAACAACATTAAACAGGGAACTCACTTTCTAGACAAGCAGAGGCAGGGGATCTTGGCATCGTCCTCGATAGGGAACTTGTAGTCGTAACTGAGCTCCTCCCCCACTTGAATCACCCGCTTAGAGTAGATCACCACGTGCTTCTGCCCGTCTGCTACTATCACCTTGGTGTAACAGTTGGGCTGGAAGGGGGGGGAAGGGGGGGGGGCGGTGGAGCGAGAGGGAAGAGAGGTACATGGAAAGGAGGAAAGACAATGACCCGCTTGGAGTAGATCACCACGTGCTTCTGCCCGTCCGCTACTATCACCTTGGTGTAACAGTTGGGCTGGTAGAGGGGAGAGGTGGATTAGATTGTGTGGGCAGTTGGAGGACGGATGGGGGCGCATTACGTTTCAAGCCTCCCTCATCACTTGTGCATATCGCACTAGTTTCCTGACAGCTCCATTGAAATCACTGACAGAGCACAACCCTGAGCTACATTTATTTCTCCCCACATCTAATCACATGCCCAAGCGCTTAAACAAGTCACTCACAACAATCGTGTGGTTTATGAATTGAGTGGGTTTTCTTTTCTACGGCTCCTCCATTTTTGTTTCAGGGCCTTTTACACTCGCATCACATGAGTGGTTGATGAATCGAGCGAGGCCGCCACTACGAGTGGCGTCCACCTGAACAGTAAGCGTTCCGATAAGAACAGCAAGAGGAGGTGGATGGGGAGATAAATTAGAGGATCAGGAGATAAGTGTAAGAGTAAAATCCGGAAGTAGAGGAGGGCAAGGCACTCGGGATCAGAAAAAGATTTGAAAGGCAACAGTAAGTGTTTCGATTCAATTCCCTGCTGCCAATGTCACTGTCTGCCACATGCCTCCTCCCCCACGTGCCACCTCCTCTGCATGCCACCTCCCCCACATGCCAGCCACCTCCCCCATGTGCCACCTACCACACACAATCTCGACCACTCACCACCACATCTTCATCCACTCGAAACAAGTAGCTGCTGCCAATGCCATCCGCCTCATACATCCTCTCCCGCAGCTCCGACACCTGGTGGGTGGGAGGGTCAGAGCGTGGCAAGTAAGTGAGATAGGAAAAGAGTGTGAGTTCACTCTTAATCAGCCGCAGGTTGGTTGATGCTGCCAATGCCATCCGCCTCATACATCCTCTCCCGCAGCTCCGACACCTGGTGGGGGTTGCATGAATGGTGAGAAAGAAAGAGCGAGAGTGTGAGTCCACAGTCGCATAGCCAGCTGATGCCATCAACACCATATCCCTCATACATCCTCTCCCGCAGCTCCGACAGCTGTTGGGTGGTGAATGTTGAGGTAAGACGGAAAGAGAGAGTGGGCCCGCAGTTGCATAGTCGCGGACTGGTTGATGCTGCCAATGCCATCTGCCACATACATCCTCTCCCGCAGATCCGACACCGGATGGTTGGGTTGGGCGTGTGGGCGTTGAAATCAAGAGGTGGTGGATTCTCGGCCTTTACATTCAATACCTTAACATTCTCCGCCTGTAGATTCCCTACCTTATCATAGCAGCACTAACCGATCGGCGAACGATGGTGCCGGTATACTCGATGATGAAATCCCCTGCTTCAATCCGCTCCAGAGACACCAGCCCCCACCCGTGTATCCGACTCCTCACCAGCTTCAGATTCTTCCAAACGTCTCAGCAGCACTTGCCTATTCTTTGCCCACTCTCCCAGCGCACTCACCGATCGACTGATGATAGTGCCAGTATACTCGATGATGAAATCTCCTGCTTCGATCCGCTCCAGAGACACCAGCCCCCACCCGTGTATCCAAATGTTTCAGCACTCACCGATCATCTCAGCACATCACTCACCAATCATCTCAGCACATCACTCACCGATCATCTCAGCACATCACTCGCCGATCATCTCAGCACATCACTCACCGATCATCTCAGCACATCACTCACCGATCATCTCAGCACATCACGTGAAAAAAGGAGTGTTTTGAGACGTCTCAAAGCACATCACTCACCGATCGGCGGATGATGGTCCCAGTGTATTCGATGATGAAATCCCCTGCTTCAATGCGCTCCAGGGACAGCAACCCCCACCCGTGTATCCTGCTCCTCACCAGCTTCAGGTTCTTCTTCCTCCCCTTCAGTTGCTTGAACCTCACCCCTTCCAACCCCTCTGAACCCACCGCTAGCTGCCTCAGCAACGCCCTGCTGCTCCTTGCACTGCCTATCAGAGTGAGGGCACCACTCCCCATGCTATTGCCCGCACCCATTCCCTCCCATGCTTCCTCCCCTGCTGCTCCTCCTCCTCCTCCTCCCCCAAGCAAGCCCACTCCGGCACCCCCAGCAGAAGCAAGCACGGCAAGAGACCCCTCTCTTTGTGTCCTGCTGCCGGGCCCTCTCAAAATACTAGCTTGGGAGAGATTCGCCCGTGAGAGCATGCGGGGCGTGCGCATGGACGCCCCTGCGCCCGGCCCTGTGCCGTCTGCTTCCCATTCTCCCGCGCCCTCGCCTCTATCCCCTTTATAGTAGGCCTCGGCTCGTTGCTTTAGAGCCTCTCTCTGAGCGACTTGCTTCACGTGTTCTCTCCACTCCCATCCGCCCCACTCCACACGAGCACACGACGATCTCTCCCTCCGCTTCCTTTCCCTTTCCCGCTTCTCCTTCTCTCTCTTCTCCCTCTTCTCCCTCTTCTCCCTCTTCTCCTGCTCCCTCCTCTCTTTCCTCTCCTGCCTCTCTTCCCAAATCCCCTCATCAAGCTTCCGTTCCTTCAAACTTTTCCTCCTCTCCTCCTCTTCCTCCTCTTCCTCCATTCCCCACTGCATCCCCGCACCCTCCCCATGACAATCACTGAGCACAGAAACCCTCCCCTCCAGCTCCCTCTCAAAACCATCTCCTTCCCCTCTCTTCCCATCTTCCTTATCCCTCATCGCAAAATTTTCCTCCTCATGTTCCGCCTCTTCCTCCTCCCTCTCCTCTTCCTCCTCCTCCCCACTCCCGTGACCCAGCAGCCCACCTGCTTGCTCCTCTGCCTGCCTGGTAGCCAGAATAAGCTGCCTCTCCGTCCTTGCTGCAACTGAATGTACACCAGCAGACTTTTTCTTTCTCCTCGCTGCAGCTGCGTGTGGGACCGGAACCAATTCAGACGCCTTTGACGTTCTAGATGCACCAGCAGCAGCAGCAGAAGCAGCAGCAGCAGCAGAAGCAGCACCAGCTGCTGAACCGTGCATTGAACCAGTTGAAGCTTTCTGCAGGTATCGCATGAGCTGGCGCTCCGTGCCAATAGGAACGCGCCAGCTGGCTTCGCCCTTCTCCTCTTTGTCTCCTTCTCTTTCTTCGCTCCCACTACCACCCCCCTCTTCCCCATCGCCCTTCCTTCTCTTCCTTTTCTTCTTCCATTTCTTCCTCCCCCTACTCTCACTTCTTGGATCACTCTCACTCCCCTCCTCCTGCTCTCTCTCATGCTCTCTCTTCCCCTCCCAATCACCCCCTCTCTTAGCAAATACACCTGCACCAGACCTCCCTTCCTCTCCCCTCTCCTCTCCCTCATCTGCTCCCATCCACTCATCAGACGACCATTCTGCGAACCGCCTACTCTTGCTTCTCTTCTTCTCCTTCCTCCTCCTGTGCTTTCCCTTCTCCTCACCTCCTCCCTCCCTCGCTCTCCTCTTCTCTTGTTCTCTCTCCCTCTCCCGCTCTTTTTCAACCTCCATCTGTGTCTGTCTCATCTTCCTTCTCACCCACTCCTCACGCCAATCGTCCTTTCTGTGTGTGGCAACACCTGTCTGTAGTTCCCCACCTCTCCCACTTTCTGGCATTTGCTCCCGCTTCTCCCTTTGCTCGCCTCTCCCCTCCTCCTTGCCCCTCCCTACAATCACATCCCTCTCTGCACTACCACCGTTCCTATACACACTCTGATCCATGTGATAATAAGAGGGACCCCATCTGCCCATCCCACCGCTCTCCACTCCTCCTTTCCGCCTCTCCTCTCCTCTCTCCTCTCGCTTCTCCCCACCTTTCCCATCCCCTTCCATCTCACCTTCCCCTCCCCCCATCTCCGTCTTTATCCTCTCTCCCCCTTCAACCACATGTCCCACACCCTGCCCACCACTTCTCATCGCCTGAAACTCCGCCTGCAATCGCTGCTCAAAAGCTGCCATAAAAGCACTCTTCCCATCACCCTGCACCTTTACCAGAGCAGCCCCTGCCGTTCTCTCTCCAACCCCACCAACGTGACCCATCCCCCCACCACCCATCCCCGCAGCACCCATCCCCCCACCACCCATCCCCCCACCACCCATCCCCGCACCACCCATCCCCCCACCACCCATCCCCCCACCACCCATCCCCGCACCACCGCTAGCGAGGCCATCCCCACTACCCGTTTTAGCACCCATCTCCCTTTTTCCGCTTCCACTCCCCCCCACACCCCAATCCAAATAGCTACCCTTGTACAATCCCAACTTTCTCGCTTTCGCATCCGACCCTTTTCGAGCAGTTACCAAAGTGTCAGGTTTATTCGAGTCAAAGCGCCTCTCAACCCCCTTCTCCTCCGTGATCTCTCCTCCCACTTCCTCCCTTTCCTTCCCTCCCTCCTTTTTGCTTTCCTTTCCTCCCTCCTTCTCCCTTTTCTCCCCTCTGTCCTCCTCCCTCTTCTCCCCTCCCACCTCCCTACCTCCAACTGCACTTGCCTTTCGCTCCTCTCCATCCTCCTCCTCTTCCTCCTCTTCCTCTTCTTCCTCCACTTTCCCCTCCTCCTTCTCCTCCCCCCTTTCATTCTTAACCTTTCCTAAAGGACTTCCCCTTAACTCCACAATCTCATCTTCCCTTCCCTTCTCAATGCTTCTCAACAACGCATCTCTAACCTTCTCCTCCCTCACTCCTGCCCCTTTGCATGACCCTTTCTCCCTCCCTCCTGCGTTTTCTCTCCTCCCCAATGCAACAGCAGCCGCAGCACCCATTGCCCCATGACTGGCATCAGCTCTTTGCTTAGCCTCCCCGTGATTTCGATCCATGCCCAAGCCTTGTTTAGCTGCATTTCTGTCAGATGCAACACCTCGATTCAGCATTTTCTCCCCTTTGGATGGCTTTTGAGTCGTCTCAGCTGCAGCACCATCCACTCGGCCTCGTTTCGTTTCAACGCGCATCAAAGCACGACCCACACCATACGCTTCTTTTCCCCCTTGTCTCAGCTTCGGTTCGTCCTGCTGACACCCCAAACGCAGCTTAGCTACGGGAAGATGAGCCGGAGAGCTCACAGCCTGCCGAGCCACTTGCCGAACCTCCGGCGGAGCTGCATGCGTAGGCTCGGAATCCAGCCCTTCTGCTGCCAAAGCTGCAGCTTCGGTTTGGAGGGCGGAACGGAAGGAGAGGCTGTGAGCCGTATTGGCCCATGAGACCAGGTGGATCGAGGGGGTGAAGGAGGGTGAGGAGTGCCGGAGAATGGATGTCGAACGTGGGAGGTGCGAGGGAGGGAGAGGGTGAGAGCGGTGTGGTTGTGGGAGGTGTGATAGAGGGAGAGGGTGAGAGGGGTGTGGTTGTGGGAGGTGTGATAGAGGGAGAGGGTGAGAGCGGTGTGCTTGTGGGAGGTGCGATATCGAGAGAGGGGGCTGCTGTGAGTGAGCGGAAGGAGGGCGGTTGAGAGACAACGACACCTCCCTCCACTGACCGCTGCTGAGAGCCTGTGAGGAGAGGGGGGAAGGACAAGAGGCACTGAGAGAGCTACAGAGAGAGGTGAGAGAACTACGGAGAGGTGAAGAGAGAGCGCCCTGTGGCTGACAGGCAACGACACCTCCCTCCACTGGCCCCTGCTTAGTGCCTGTGAGGTGAGGAGGCAGGGATGGGGGGTTTACGGTGAAGGCAGGAAAGGAGGCAAGGAAAGACGTAAGGATATATTTCGAGGCGCCTTGATAACAGACACTCCCCTCCGCTGAGGCCAGTGCTTAGTGCCTGTACAAGGGAGGCAAGGAAAAGTGGCGCCAAAAGAAGTGAGGAGAGAGGTTGGTGGTGCCTTGGCACTTTTGAGGCGCCTCAAAAACCGTTTGAGGCCAGTGCTTAGTGCCTGTAGAAGGGAGGCAAGGAAAAGTGGCGCCGAAAGAAGTGAGGAGAGAGGTAGGTGCCTTGGCACTCCTGTGGTTGAGAGAATTAGGGAACTAGAGATTAACACTTCCCTTCCCTCCACTTTTGAGTCGACTCAAAAGTTACCTCATTAGGGAACTAGAGATTAACACTTCCCTTCCCTCCACTTTTGAGTCGACTCAAAAGTCACCTCATTAGGGAACTAGAGATTAACACTTCCCTTCCCTCCAATTTTGAGTCGACTCAAAAGTCACCTCATTAGGGAACTAGAGATTAACACTTCCCTCCACTTTTGAGTCGACTCAAAAGTCACCTCATTAGGGAACTAGAGATTAACACTTCCCTCCACTGGTCACTGCTTCCTGCCGCTGAGGGGGGGAATTAGGGAGGAGGTAGGAAACCAGGCAAGGAGAGACAAAAGACCTGCTAATCCTCACTCACCCTCACCCTCACCCTCACCCTCACCCTCAGCATAAATCACCCCAGTAGCAGCTCCTCCTCCTGCCCTTCGTTACTCGAGAATCGTTGGTTTTGTGAGAATCCTCAGAAGACAACTAGTTAATCCCCATCTACCGAGCGAGAGAAGGCTGGGATGGGACTCACTCACCCTCAGCATGAATCGACCCAATAGTAGCTCCTCCTTCTCCTGCCCTTCGCTCTCCTCCATCCACACCTCTCCATCCTCCTCTGCTACCCCTCGTGCCATCCCCTCCATACTCCCGCCCTCCCTCTCCACATCCTCCTCGTCTCCATCACTCCCATCCTCCTTCTCTTCACTCTCCTTCCCTTCTTCCTCTTCTTCTTCCTCCTCCTCCTCCTCCTCCTCCTCGCTTTCCTCATCCTCCTCCTCCTCCTCCTCCTCCTCCTCCTCCTCCTCCTCCTCCTCCTCCTCCTCCTCCCCCTCTCCCTCCTCCTCCTCTTCTTCCTCCCCCTTACTCCTCAGCACCACGCCACCACCAAGACTCCAGCTACCCACTAGCGCTACCTTCCGACATGTCTCAAAAGCCACCCTTGTTTTGGCACTGCTACTGAACAGCGTTTGGAGGGCTGACAGGGGCTGGGGTGTCCCAACCTCCATCCCCTTGTCTTTCCTTTTCCCATCTGCACTCCTCTCGCTCACACCCCTCTCGCTCACACCCCTCTCGCTCACACCCGTTTCGCCTGCAATTCCTCCACCCGCGCCCCTGTCACCACCCCTTCCTTCATCCCCACTCAATCCATCCCCACTACCAGCCTCCCTTCCTGCATCTCCAGTCATCCCTCGGCTGCCCCCATCCCGCACAGCAATGCCATCATGCAAATCCCTAATAACATCACAAAAATCATGCGTCCAGAAACCGGCTGGAAGGAGTAGTTTTGAACTGTTTTCAAATGCTTTTAAAACGTAGGGTTCGGAATGCTTCCAGGTGAAAGTATAAGCATTTTTCCGAATGCTTTGTCGAATGCTTTGCATGTGCTTTTCAGATGACTTCACAAGTTTTGAAAGACTTCAGACAGGGGCAACCTTGTAGACTTTAGGATGCTATAAAAACTCTTTAATGTGTTGGCAATCAGCTATAAAAATCATTTTAGCAAGCACCAAAAGTTACATTATTACGGCTGCCAAACATTCATAGTAAACATTGAAATAATTATTTATTAATTTATAGAACTACAATACATCAACAGCATAGTAATGATTGCCAATCTTTAACAAAGATCTAGTCGCCTTCACATGTAAATCGAAACCTTAATCTAAGCATGATCTCGCCCCAAAACGAATCGTTAGAGCTGTGGAAACAGCAATGCCTGCTGCTCAATTAACGACTCATGCATCTGGTCTGAGGTAAACACATCAAAAGCCGTGAGTACAAACGACCAGCCACGTACAATCAAATGCTTACCGGGAGAAGAAATATCTGAAAAATATATATTTAAATTAAAAGATATTGTAGTGCACGCCTCCGAGAGACATAACGAACAGGATGAGGAGGTTAAAGTAGATATCAAGTCGGAGTAAAGCATGAATACGATGTGACACCCTCAATATGAACACACAGCCATAAGTGATAAGCAAGGGCAGATTGACGCGGCGACCTGCAGACGCCCATGAAGAAAAATAATCAAAACGAGGTGAGAAATACCCTCAATACACTAAGTAACTGGCCTTCTTAAGCAAAAAAGGTGGTTGAGCTGGAAATTGTCGAGGTGGATTGATTGGGCGGCTCAGATTGGTTGGGCGATGTGATATTCTAAGCTGGATTGAATCAGGCAGCCCGGATTGGTTGGATCGATTTCTGGGCTGGTTGGGGTTGGTTGGGAAAGTGTGATTGGGGGTTGACAAATGCGCGTCGAAACTGAACAAAGTTTTGTTACAAAATCACAACGCAGCCGTTGTAGTCCAGTCAGTTCCGATATTCGGAATACCTGGGTTCAAATCCCGGTAGCGGACCATATCTGAAACTAGGCCTGTGTCCACTCTTCGAACCAATCTTTTATCTTACTGCGGCTCAAAATTGAGGCAGCATAATTATCCACACTTAAAGCTCAAGGCCCAAATTGCGGGCCCAAATTGCGGACCGCGTGGGCCAAGAATACTATTCTTGCACACTTTGCGTTTTTTGTGCTGTCTCTTCGTGTGAAGCAATCTGATTGGTTACAGAAGGTGTAGAAGCAATCTGATTGGTTTCGGAAGTTTTGGAAGCAATCCGATTGGTTACAGTGCAAGTTTCTCAACTCTGCGATTCGGGACTCTCGGTCCCCAAACACAAGGTGCCCCCAGAACTTCGCGTTCACCAACCCCACCCCCAACCTATGATGGATCTGACGCGTCAAGCGTTTTTGACGCTTTGACGCGCCATGTCCGAGGGCATCCCCCCAGTTTGACGCTCTGGCGGGCAGGCAAAAAACACTGCCCGGGCAGGCAAAACAAAGCGGCAGCAGAGGAACTCCACCACCAACAAGAACGGGAGTGAGCGGAGAGACGGACATGTCGGGAAAAAAACGGTTTGGCAGGAGGGAATGTTGAGAATTTGGTCGACGGATGCTGAAACCCTAGAAAAGCGAGTGAAATGAGCGTCGGAGTTGAGATTGTGGCATGAGGGTTGGGTTGAACAGATTCTGTGCGGTGAAGGGTGGTGGGGGGCGTGGGTTTGTTTTGGGGTTGGTTGTGAGGTGTTTCTGACGAGTTGGCTTTAGGGATTGCGATTTCGTCGCAAATCGTGACTCAATGATTTTTCGCGGATTGTTCCCGATTCAGTACAATTTTTTTTTTCGATTTCGGGCTGCCCTAAAGTTTTTACCCTGAGCGTCAAGCGTTTTGACGTTTTGACGCGTCAAGCGTCAAAACGCCACGTTTTGACGCTTGACGCTACCCCTTTCTAGCGTCAGATACATCATAGCCCCCAACACCCAACCTTGCACAAGATTACTAATCTTGTGCAATTTGGGCCTTGGGCTTTAACTTACAAATCAGAAATTTTGGTAGCATAATTCAATACTTTCCTTTAAACAACTGTATGGCGACAACCTTTCACATTTTCACATGGTATTATTTTCAGCCTTATGTATGTCTGAACAAACAACATGTGACGTCAACCATAGAAACATTGATAAACCATTATCAAAACATCGGCAAAGCATTTGGGTCGGCCAAAATGATATACAAATGATATGTTGACGATTCCATAATGTTTGTCAAACGTTTTCCGAATCCTTGATATGGTCGAATGATTTCCATACATACACATTTTTGTGATGAATCTGCCCATTTCTGCGACCGTGAGACGAGCCCTTTTCGTTCCCACCGTGAGTGGTTTGCCGGTTCAATTCAGTGGTTGCGTCCACATCCATGCCTCGACTTGCCGACTTTTGAGTCGACTCAAAAGTCAGCGGGGTTTGCCGGTTCAATTCGGTGGTTAAGTCCACATCCATGCCTCGACTTGCCGACTCCCCAGCCTTATTGTGGTATGACAATGGGGAGAGGCTGTGTCTTGAAGGGGACGGCCCCATGTTTATCGCACCTGCGCTGGAGCCCCTGGAGGCTTTAAGTGCTGTCGGTGACGTCACTCCTGCGTCATCAAGTGCTGTAGGTGATGTGACCCCTGCTGCATCACCACCGATGTCGTCACTGGCAGTGCTGTCGGCATGTACGTCCTCAGGAGTCACATCACTGCCAGATGCATCAGCAGCAGGAGAAGCAGCAGCAGCAGCAGCTGCGGCAGCAGAGGCAGCAGCGGCATCACCAGCGGCAGCAGCAGCAGCAGCAGCAGCAGCAGCAGCAGCAGCAGCAGCAGCAGCAGCATTCGCACTAGCAGGAGCAGGAGCATCAGGAGTCAACTCTCTGTTAGCAGCATCAGTAGAAGCAGCAGGATAAGCAGCAGCAGCAGCAGCAGCAGCAGCAGCAGCAGCAGCTGCGGCAGCAGAGGCAGCAGCGGCAGCAGCGGCATCACCAGCGGCAGCAGCAGCACCATTTACACTAGCAGAAGCAGGAGCATCAGGAGTCACACCTCCATTAGCAGCATCAGTAGAAGCAGCAGCAGATCCAGAGGCAGCAGGCACATCAGCATCAGCGGGAACAGCAGCAGCAGCAGCAGCAGCAGCAGCACTAGCAGCAGTAGTACCAGCACCCGCATCACTATGAGCAGCAGCAGCAGCAGCAGCATCACCATCACGCTGCTGACTACCCCCAAGTGACGAGGGATCATGTCCCCCTTCCTTTTCCTCCTCTTTACCTCCACCTTTTTCACCTTCTTCTCCTCGCCATGTCCCTTTCGCCCTTCCAATCCTCCTCCCATCTCAAAGCCGCCTCTCTTCCCCTTCACCACTCCTCCCCCTATAGCAAAAATCCCTTTCACCCCTGCTCCCTGCACCAGTCTCTTTGAAAGGGGTAGATCTTACAACCCACTGTCACTCTCACCCTCCTTCTGCCTCTCCCTTTCCCTCTCCCTTCTTCTCGCCCTTCCCCTCTCCCTTTCCCTCTCTCTTTCCCTCTTCCTTCCCCTCTCCCTCTCCCTCTCCTCTCTTTCCTGCTGCTCCCCTTCCTCCACGTCTCCCCTTTCTCCTTCCGCTCTCTCCTTCGTCCCATCATCAACACCACCACCAACGCCAATAGCAGCACAACCACCATCCCCAGAACGGTCACCATTGCTGTCAGTACCAGCCCCCTTTGCCCGCTTTCCCATCATCCACCCCTCCGCCTTTCCCTCCTGCAAAGTATCGCCTGAATCCTTATCACTTTCCCCACCTAAATCCTTCACTCGTTCCCACCCAGCGCCCCAACCATCTCACCTCCTCCACTCTTCCCTCTCACTCTACCTCCCTCAACCTGATCATCCCCGTCGCTCTCACCACTGCTCTCAGCAACACTCTCAGCACCATTTCTGTCTGCTCTCCCGTCCCCTGCCCTCCACTTCACACTCCCCTTCTCTTCCTCCTCCACACCTCCCTACCTTCCTCCTCCTCCTGCTTCTCTTCCTGCTCCTTCCCCTGCTTCCTCTCTTCTTCCCCCAACCCCTTTCCGTTCTCCTCCTCCTCCTCCTCCTCCTCCTCCTCCTCCTCCTCCAGCCTCCTTCCCCCCCCCACCCCCTGTTCCCCCTCCTCCCGCCTTCCCGCCTCCCATCAGCAACTGCAGCCCTGTCAGTATTCCCCCCGTTCTCACTGCTGCTGCAGGCACACTCGCTCCCCCTGTTCCTGCCTTAGCTTCATCCATCTTTCCGCCACTCCCACTCCCATTCCCAGTCCCAATCCCCTCACACACACCCCTTGTTTCTGTCGCCCCTCCATCTTCCCCACCAGATTCACAGCGAGAAGACTTAAAACCCCTCACATCACGCTCCTGCTCCTCCTCTGCTTCCTCCTTTCTCTTCCCCCCTCTTTCTCCCTTCCCTCTATCTCCTTCCCCTGCCTTCTCTTTCATATTTCCCTCATGCCTCTCCTCCCTCCTGTCACTCTGCCCTCTACAATCCTGAACCCTCCATATCTCCACATCTCTGTCCCTCTCTTGAACCCCCTTCACCATCTCGTTTCCTCCCTCCTCCACATCCTTTTCTGCCTCCACACTCCCTCCCTCCTCTCTTTCCTCTGACCTCACTCGCTCTTCGTCCCTCCTCTCCTCCCCTCCTTTTCCCCGCCCTTCCTCGCCTGCTCTTAGCTGGAAACCTGGTGGTACTGAGTTTCGAGCTGTCTCAAACCCAGGAGGTCCGGCCGTTTCAAGACCAACTTCATACCCCTCTTGATGCTGCTGCTGCTGCTGGATCTTCTGCTGCTTCATATGCTGTTGCTCCCTCTGCTCACGTTGACCCTCTACCTCTTGCTCGTCCTCGCGCTTCTTGTACCTTCGACCCTCTGAGGCAGCCAGTCTAGCAGTGGTGGCTTCTGCTAAAGGTGTATTTTGAGGCGCCTCAAAATACACCTCTTGCTCGTCCTCACGCTTCTTGTACCTTCGACCCTCTGAGGTAGCCAGCCAAGCAGTGGTAGCTTCTGCCAAAGCCGCAACCCTCCTCCCCCACTCAGACCCCCGGGAAGAGGACTGCAGCAGATTCAACGCGGAGGAGAGCGGTGGAGGGGAGTGCGGGAGGATGGGAGGAGGTGAGTAAAGGTGGTGAGGAGGGGAGTGAGGGAGAGTGGGAAGAGGGGAGTGAGGAAGAGGAGGGGGACGCGGCACGGGGAGGGATGAAGGGAGAGGATGGAGAGGAGGCTGAAAAGGAGGCTGGGGAAAAGGAGGGACCTCAAACGACTGGGAAGGAGGGATTAGTAGTGGTGGTGGTAGTGATGATGATGATGATACTGGTGGTGGGCGTGGGGGGGATGGTGATGGTGGGGGTGTCGGCAGTTTCTTTGCTCGAATAGGCGGCAGAGAGTCAAAATCCATTGCTTCAAATAGCAGTTTCGAATCTTTCACCCCCTCGTTACCTTTCAACCCCTCGCGCCCTTGCAGCAGCCCTACATGCCCCTCGACCCCTTCCTCCTGTCCCTGTGTTTCGGCACCTGATGCCTCTGTCCTCGCCCCTTTTCCCATGCTTCTCCTGTGCTGGTCAGATGGCTTTCTGTCCTGCTCGGCCTCTCCTCCTGCCCCCGACTCTCGTTCAACCCTCGTCCTCCAGTCTCCCGCATGAGTGGAGGCAGGAGGGACATGAAGAGGTGGAGAAGCAACAGCAGCAGCAGCAGCAGCAGCAGCAGCAGCAGCAGCAGCCACAGCAGGGAAAGCAGCAGCCGGATTGTTATCTCCACCACCAACTGCACCAGCACCCAGAGCATCATCAGCACCAGCAGTGACACCAGTATCGGCAGCGGCAGCATCAGCAGCAGCATCAGCATTAGAGGGCGCAGTTACAGAAGCAGGACCAGCAGTGGAAGAAGGGGAAGCAGGGGCGGCTTGAGCAGGTGAGAGCACAGAGGCACGGTTAGAGAGAGCAGAGGTCAGGTGGGGGCCTACAGAGGCATTAAGGAAGGATGGGCAGTGTATGGATTGCAGCACTAGGGTATGCAGACGTGTGCGAACGAGAGAGAGTGAGGAGGAAAACAGGACGTCAAGGGAGGGAGGGGAGGCTGAGATGAGTAGCTGTTGCTGTTGTTGTTGGTGCTGCTGCTGCTGCTGCTGATGCTGGTGCTGATGCTGCTGCTGGTACTGTTGTTGTTGCTGCAGCTGCAGTGGCTGCTGCTGTTGCTGGTGCTGCTGCTGCTGCTGTGGCTTGGATGGGTGTCTACCCAGCAGAGCCCCCAGGGAGATGGGAGGAGTGTGCATGTTGCGAATATCTGACAACTGATGGAATGTGGGGAGACACGCAAGCAGGAGGAAGTGGGAGATTGAGCTTTCCATACCACATTAGAATGGGTACTTGAATACCGTGTGAGGGTAGGCTGTGGACAGTGGAGAGAATCGGAGAGGGAGAGGGGGTGAAAGAGGGCAACATCATTACACCATCACATGCATCACAACCATGTGAGGGTAGGCTGTGGAGAGAATCGGAGAGGAGGTGGCTGCAGTGTGTGCATGTCATTCAACCACCGCCATTCCACACACACACCACTGCATGTTTTTTGAGAATTCTAAAAAAAACATACCCCACACGTCATTGCGCACTGTACTCTACATACCATGAGGGTGGGCATGAGATGCCCACACTGCAGCCACCACCTCAGCATCACAACAGAAAACGGCCCCTTGGGTGCCTTGTCTTCCCCCGGATACGTCCAAAACAACCCACTCTCCTCCTCCTCCTCTCCTCCCCTCCTTGTCTCACGTCCATCCCCTTCTTACCGTCCATCCCTCCTCCCACATCCCCTGTATCCCCCATCACTGCGTTTCCAGCAGCGGCATTGGTGCCAAAAACAGCACCACCAACAGCAGCAGCACCACCAGCACCAGCAGCAGCAGCAGCTTCTGCTCTTCCTGATGCCATTTCCACTACTGTCCCTGCTCCAGAAACAGCAAGCATGGTCATTTGCTGTTGCGCCTGCAGCTGCTGATTCTGATCCTGCTGCTGCTGCTGCTGCTGCTGCTGCTGCTCTTGTGGCTGCTGCTCAGAAGCCCGCAGCCTCAGCTCTGGCTGTTGCTGTTGGGATGCTGGAGGCAACGAGTTGAACGGAAGGGACACCCCAAAGTGAAGCAGCACGGAAGCTTCCCCTTTCAGCACCCGAGCCAGCGGCATAGGCTCGGCATCCGAGCCTTCCGGGTAGGCCAGGATATGATCCGGCAGCTCCCTACAGGTGGTTCGGTTCCAGGGATGGAGGGACAATCGAAGATGGTGGTACAAGAAGAGGGTAGGGAAGGAAGCGGGAAAAGGAAACGAGAAATCATGCAGTAAGCTCAATCAATCATGCAGCTTGGATCAAAGAGGCAATGATCTTTGCAAGTCAGCTGTTCAGCTAGATCTAGCTCAATTGCCCTGCAGCAAGATATGACTGCAGCTTGCTGCAGGGCGATTGAGCTTACTGATTTTCATTCATATGGATTGACTCAATCGCCCTGCAGCAACCACGTGTAGAAAGTAGATTTTTGAGACGTCTTAAAAATCTACTTTCTACACGTGGTTTCTCTATTTCTGGTTCCTGTAGATTTCTGCTAGCGTGGAAGTTACCTTCTCGCTTACGTCGAAGACTGATTCAATCGAGGCTCCAACCTGTCGCAGTTTAACACTTTCGCGCAACGAAGTGGTGTTACCACTTTTTTTACTTTTCGATCCTGGTTACCAACCCTCCCGAAGTTCCCCTTTTTGGTTCCGAAGGACTGGATCAGAGTCTCTGGCTCACCTCGAGATTTCATGCCATCTCCGCCTCGCATTGCATCCATCTGCCTGGTTAGCTCAGCTTTAGCGTAGAGTACTTTAGTCAGCTTGTTCAGATCAGATGCTTAGTTTCAGGCTTGTTTGTACTGATGAAGGTTCGAAAGAACCGAAACTAGTCTACTCAAGTTCTGATTTTAAGTTGACGATTCTGTTCAAACTGGCTCTCTAAGACGTTCTAGCTCACAAGCTCTCCAGGCTCTCTCATTTTTCTCATTTCATGGAGTTTGCTTCGTCGTCCTAAGACACAGTTTAAGTTGATGGACATAAGACCTCCGCAGCCCACCTGTTTACCTTTGACAGCAGGTGGAGATACTTGAGGAATGCAGACGCATGGCCAAATTCAGTTCACCCCACCACAACCCCACACACATCTCACCTGTCCCAGGTCTCACCTGTCTGACCCTCGCCTTCCTGAGAGCGGAGGGCGGCAGGTGAAGGTACTTGAGGAAGGCGGACGCATGCCCCCTCCACCAGTTATCACCTTGAAGTGCGGGGTATGTGGGAGTGGGGCAAGGGAGTGGGGCAGGGGAGTGGGGCAGGGGAGTGGGGCAGGGGAGTGGGGCAAGGGATGCAGGCATGCAATGCCCCTGTTATGCAGGCATGTGACCGCACTTGTGCTGCTGCCACAGGAAAATCCTCCCATTCCTTTCCTCCGCATCCACATCCAAGAACATGCAAAGGTGCACAGAAAAAGCATTTCAGGATATACAATACCTGCACTGCAGGCCTGGACCGTACCTGTAGGTATGAAATTACCGTACCTGGACTGCTGTCATGGGAAGAACATTCCTTGCCTCCACACCCACGCGCATGCAAAGGTGAAAGGATACCGCCCCATATCCAATAATGGACCCTGCGCAATGGTGGAGTGAGAGTGGATGAAAAGAAGGAGCGTTTTGGTCAGTTCAAATTCATGCAAAGGTGAAATGATACCGGCCCATATCCAATAATGGACCCTGCGCAATGGTGGAGTGAGAGTGGATGAAAAGAAGGAGCGTTTTGGTCAGTTCAAATTCATGCAAAGGTGAAAGGATACCGGCCCATATCCAATAATGGACCCTGCGCAATGGTGGAGTGAGAGTGGATGAAAAGAAGGAGCGTTTTGGTCAGTTCAAATTCATGCAAAGGTGAAATGATACCGGCCCATATCCAATAATGGACCCTGCGCAATGGTGGAGTGAGAGTGGATGAAAAGAAGGAGCGTTTTGGTCAGTTCAAATTCATGCAAAGGTGAAAGGATACCGGCCCATATCCAATAATGGACCCTGCGCAATGGTGGAGTGAGAGTGGATCAAGAGAGGGGGTTCAGATTCAGATCTATGCACATGTGATTAGCCAATGCCCAATAAGGGGCCCTGCGCAATGGAGGAGTGAGAGTGAAGGGGAGGTAGAGCTGGAGAGATAAAGTGATGAATTAAGGAGGAGGAGGAGGAGGGAAACTTACAGACACCTAGAAACCTGTAGAAACCTGCATGCAACCAAGAACTAGCACGTGCAACCAACCAAGCACCCACCATGTAAGCAGCTATAGCAAGGGGCAGCAGAGCCGCAGCTTCTTTAACGAGGCTTATCGGCACAGAGGCAGGGTGGGAGGGGAATGGAATGGACCCCTCTCCGCCAGCCTGTCACACACAACACAACCAAGAACCTACACCACACGGGGCCAAGCACCCACCGTATAGGCAGCAATAGCAAGGGGCAGCAGAGCCGCAGCTTCCTCAATGAGGGTTATCGGCACAGAGGCAGAGGGGGAGGGGAAGGGACCCCCCTCTGCTAACCTGTCGCTGCTGCTGCTCCCCTCGCTTCCAACCCTGCTAACCCCACGCCCGCTCCTTGCATTGCTTCTGTCAACGCCCCTCATGCTGCTGCCTGCAGTGCTGCTGGTGGCAGTATTAGAGTTGAGAGAATCAAAGACAGAGGGTGCAGTGGTGGTGGTGGAGGAGAGAGGGGTGGCAGCGGTGGTGGATGGTAGTGTGTTGAGATGGGTGGGGTGGGAAAAGGAGGAGGAGGAGGAGAGGGGGGCATCGACAGCTGGCGGCGGGCGATTGGCTTGGAGAAGGGCGAGGCCTGCGTGCACAGAACAGAAGACAGAGCGGTTGGTTTGAGTAGGGCATGGGGGGTTCCTGCGACAAGTGGCAGTAGCAGATTGGCTTGGACGAGGCTCGTATGGCATGGCATGGCATGGCATGTCATGGCTTGATATGGCATGATATTGCGTGGTCAAACCATCCCCATTACCTGCGAGCAGCTCCAGGTGACTGGCCCCACAGCTCTGTACGCCATCCCATCCCCCAGCAGCAATGCCCCACCATGCCTAGCTAGCAACAACCATACCATCCCATCACCGCGTGCGATTCACCCTCCCATCACTGCCATTCACCATCAATGGTAGCCCCACCTGCGAGCAGCTCTATATGACTGGCCCCCGCAGCCCTGTACGCCATCACACCCCCCAGCAACACTGCCACTCTTCTATCCCGTTCATTGCCACTCACCCTCCCATCATTGGAATTCACCATCAGCCCATCACCCCACCTGCGAGCAGCTCCAGGTGACTGGCCCCCACAGCTCTGTACGCCATCACATCCCCCAGCAGCGATGCCACTATGCCTAGCACCTGTATCTGCTACCATCAGCCATCCCATCACCTGCCATTACCCATCACCCACCTGCGAGCAGCTCCAGGTGACTGGCCCCCATAGCTCTGTACGCCATCACATCCCCCAGCAGCGATGCCACTATGCCTAGCACCTGTATCTGCTACCATCAGCCATCCCATCACCTGCCATTACCCATCACCCACCTGCGAGCAGCTCCAGGTGACTGGCCCCCACGGCTCTGTATGCCATCACATCCCCCAGTAGTGACGCCACTATGTCCACCTCATCGTCTACCTCGTCCCTGGGGCAAAAGGAGAGGCGGATATACGAAGCAGAGCCAAGGAATCCTGGGTCCAGCCAGTCACACCGTCCCCTGGCAGCAATGGCATCATGTCCACCTCGTTGTCTACCTCGTCCCTGCGGAGGAGGGATGATGCGAGGAGGAGAAAGGGAGAATAATGACGAGGAGAGCAGGAGGGGCCAGCAAGGAGAGGATGAAGGTCCCCGTCACGTTGTTCCCCATCAGCGATGCCACTATGTCAACCTCGTTGTCTACCTCGTCTCTGCGGCAAGAGGGATGGGTGTGAGAGAGAGGGAAGAGAGGGAAGAGGCGGGGAAACGGATTCTCATTGGCCATCACATCCCCCAGCAGCGATGCCTCTATATCCACCTCGCCGTCTGCCTCGTCCCTGGCGAGGGAGGAGAGGGAGAAGCAGAGCAGGGCAGAGGAATTATGGGTCCAGTCAGCCATCACATCCCCCAGCAGCGATGCCACTATGTCCACCTCGTCGTCCACCTCATCGTCCACCTCGTCCCTGGGGCAAGAGGAGAGGGGGAAGCGGAGCAGAGAGGGGGAATTATGGGTCCAGCCAGCCATCACATCTCCCAGCAGCGAGAGAGGCTACCTTGTCCCTGGGGAGAGAGGGATGATGGGAGGAGGGGGAAGGGAGGAGAATGCTGAGGAGAGGAGAGCAGGAGAGAGACGCAAGGAGAGGACTAAGGGTTCTCCAGCAGCAATGCCAATATGTCCACCGGACCACCATCTACCTCGTCCCTGAGGCAACTTATCTGAGGCAACGTCCCTGAGGCAACGTCCATGAGGCAACGTCCCTGGGAGAGCGGGAAGACAGGGGCAAGAGGCAGAAAGAAGGGGGTTGGGCTGAGGCATTTTCAATCACCATCACCATCCTTCAGCAGCGATACCATCGCCCCATGCGGCACAGGATCTCCCCAATGCTCCAGTTGAACATCTCCCTGTGGTGTACAGTACAATATCTGATAAGGATACTGTACACCAATTCCCTATACATTTACTAGTAACGTGCGTACCACGGTCTAGCCCGCCCCGTGCAGCACAGGATCTCCCGGATGCTCCAGTTGAACCTCTCCCTGTGATCTACACTGCAGCATATATAACTGACGTAACAATCCTCTATATATACAGTCAGTGTTCACGTACGTACCAAGGTCTAGCACGCCCCATGCAACAAAGTATTTCTCGGATGCTCCAGTTGAACATCTCCCTGTAGTGCGCCCGCCACGCCACGTGCGTGGTGTGTACAGGAATACTTCCCTATACAGTTAGTAACAACGTTCGTACTACGGCCTAGCGCGCCCCATGCAGCACAGAATCTCCCGGATGCTCCAGTTGAACATCTCCCTGTGGTCTACACTGCAGCATATATAACTGATGTAACACTTCTCTATATATACAGTGAGTGTTCACGTACGTACCACGGTCTAGCACGCCCCATGCAACACAGAATTTCCCTGATGCTCCAGTTGAACATCTCCCTGTGGTCTACACTGCAGCATATCTAACTGATGTAACACTTCTCTATATATACAGTGAGTGTTCACGTACGTACCACGGTCTAGCACGCCCCATGCAACACAGAATTTCCCTGATGCTCCAGTTGAACATCTCCCTGTGGTCTACACTGCAGCATATCTAACTGATGTAACACTTCTCTATATATACAGTGAGTGTTCACGTACGTACCACGGTCTAGCACGCCCCATGCAACACAGAATTTCCCTGATGCTCCAGTTGAACATCTCCCTGTGGTCTACACTGCAGCATATATAACTGATGTAACACTTCTCTATATATACAGTGAGTGTTCACGTACGTACCACGGTCTAGCACGCCCCATGCAACACAGAATTTCCCTGATGCTCCAGTTGAACATCTCCCTGTGGTCTACACTGCAGCATATATAACTGATGTAACACTTCTCTATATATACAGTGAGTGTTCACGTACGTACCACGGTCTAGCACGCCCCATGCAACACAGAATTTCCCTGATGCTCCAGTTGAACATCTCCCTGTGGTCTACACTGCAGCATATATAACTGATGTAACACTTCTCTATATATACAGTGAGTGTTCACGTACGTACCACGGTCTAGCACGCCCCATGCAACACAGAATTTCCCTGATGCTCCAGTTGAACATCTCCCTGTGGTCTACACTGCAGCATATATAACTGATGTAACACTTCTTTATATATACAGTGAGTGTTCACGTACGTACCACGGTCTAGCACGCCCCATGCAACACAGAATTTCCCTGATGCTCCAGTTGAACATCTCCCTGTGGTCTACACTGCAGCATATCTAACTGATGTAACACTTCTCTATATATACAGTGAGTGTTCACGTACGTACCACGGTCTAGCACGCCCCATGCAACACAGAATTTCCCTGATGCTCCAGTTGAACATCTCCCTGTGGTCTACACTGCAGCATATATAACTGATGTAACACTTCTCTATATATACAGTGAGTGTTCACGTACGTACCACGGTCTAGCACGCCCCATGCAACACAGAATTTCCCTGATGCTCCAGTTGAACATCTCCCTGTGGTCTACACTGCAGCATATCTAACTGATGTAACACTTCTCTATATATACAGTGAGTGTTCACGTACGTACCACGGTCTAGCACGCCCCATGCAACACAGAATTTCCCTGATGCTCCAGTTGAACATCTCCCTGTGGTCTACACTGCAGCATATATAACTGATGTAACACTTCTCTATATATACAGTGAGTGTTCACGTACGTACCACGGTCTAGCACGCCCCATGCAACACAGAATTTCCCTGATGCTCCAGTTGAACATCTCCATGTGGTCTACACTGCAGCATATATAACTGATGTAACACTTCTCTATATATACAGTGAGTGTTCACGTACGTACCACGGTCTAGCACGCCCCATGCAACACAGAATTTCCCTGATGCTCCAGTTGAACATCTCCCTGTGGTCTACACTGCAGCATATATAACTGATGTAACACTTCTCTATATATACAGTGAGTGTTCACGTACGTACCACGGTCTAGCACGCCCCATGCAACACAGAATTTCCCTGATGCTCCAGTTGAACATCTCCCTGTGGTCTACACTGCAGCATATCTAACTGATGTAACACTTCTCTATATATACAGTGAGTGTGCACGTACGTACCACGGTCTAGCACGCCCCATGCAACACAGAATTTCCCTGATGCTCCAGTTGAACATCTCCCTGTGGTCTACACTGCAGCATATATAACTGATGTAACACTTCTCTATATATACAGTGAGTGTTCACGTACGTACCACGGTCTAGCACGCCCCATGCAACACAGAATTTCCCTGATGCTCCAGTTGAACATCTCCCTGTGGTCTACACTGCAGCATATCTAACTGATGTAACACTTCTCTATATATACAGTGAGTGTTCACGTACGTACCACGGTCTAGCACGCCCCATGCAACACAGAATTTCCCTGATGCTCCAGTTGAACATCTCCCTGTGGTCTACACTGCAGCATATATAACTGATGTAACACTTCTCTATATATACAGTGAGTGTTCACGTACGTACCACGGTCTAGCACGCCCCATGCAACACAGAATTTCCCTGATGCTCCAGTTGAACATCTCCATGTGGTCTACACTGCAGCATATATAACTGATGTAACACTTCTCTATATATACAGTGAGTGTTCACGTACGTACCACGGTCTAGCACGCCCCATGCAACACAGAATTTCCCTGATGCTCCAGTTGAACATCTCCCGGTAGTGTGCCCGCCATGCGCGGTCCCGCATGGCGTAGAACGACCGCCAGATCAGCACGTCGCTGCCAGCTAAGCACTGCCCACCGACGGCAATCCAGCTGGCTGTGAGGACGAAGAGAGCCAGTGGGAGGAGGTAGGTCCAGGGGCCTTGGTAACCCACTGGGATGGGAAGCAAGGGGGAAGCAGGGAAAGAGTGGAGAGTAAGGGGAGAATGGGGGGCGGTAGTAGGGACAGGGAGGAGAGTGGGGGGAGGGAAACGGTTGGTGGGAGAAAATCAGTTCAGGGGCCTTGGTAGGCATGGCATGTGGTAAATAAAAGGAGGGAACGCATGAGTGGAACAGAAAGGAGACAGGGAGCAGGTGAGAGAAAGCAAGAGTCGTACGCTTCAAAGGGCACAAGGGTAGTTGGGAGTCCAGCATCGATTGGACGACGGCGACAGTGAGGAAGAGAGCTGCACCCGTTTGTAACAGGGTTACCACGTGGCCCACCCTGCTCCACCGCACCCACGCACGGTAGCGACGCTGATGACAGGCAAGAATGGGGGACAGAATGGGGGACACACGTTTGTAACAAGGTTACCACATGGGCCATCGTGCTCCTCCTTGCCCATGCATGCACAGTCACGACCCTGAACGCACGAGCATGGTAGTGGCACAGGTTGGGTGGGTGGGTGGGGGAGGGAGGGAACAAGGGTGGGGGGGAGGGTGAGAGAGAGCTGAGGACCCACACATACATGAGTCACCCTGATGCTCCTCCTTGCCCACGCACAGTAGCGACCCTGAACGCACAAACATGGAAGTGGCACAGGACGGGTGGGTCGGTGGGGGAGGGAACGATAGAGGGGTAGGGGGAGGGCGGAGGACCCATAAGCACCTGTCGCTCGGACTTGTTGGCGCTGCCAGACAGTGAGGTGGACAGCCTGATCGCTTGGAGCTCGTCACCATCCGAGTCCGCGTCACTCCCCCAGCCTTTGATCCCCGGGTCTCCTCCATTTCCCCCTGCTTGATTACTTTCTCTCTCTGCTCCTCCTCCCTCTCTTCCGCCTCCTCTTTCTCCTCCTCCTTCTCTTCCTGCTCTCCCTGATACCCCTGGTCGCCTGCTTTTTTCTCGTGCAGCAGCGACCCGGCTGTTCCCCCCTCTGTCAGGAGCTTCATCCTCCTTATAAGATGATCTTTCGCTTTCGTTGAGAGATGCCAAGTCCTGCGCTGAACCGGCTACGGTTATCGCGTCAGCTGCTGCAGCTTGAGCTGCTGCTGCGCCTATGGCCCAAAACACGCGCAGGAGGCAGGTAAATGCGACTGTAATGAAGGAGATTGTAACGGTGCTGGAACATTCATTCTTCTTGCACTGTACACCTGTGGCGAAAGAAGTACCAGCAACGAGAAGAATGAACGGCAGAAGGATCAGCGAAATCGTGCGAAATCGACGAAGCCCGCTACAGCAACCGAAGCCTCTTCGCCAAGTCCCCATTTCGTCCGCATGAGAAGAAGCCGAACCGCGACTTGATTTAGCTCACAATGATCACACAATCAGGAGAATTTGTAAGTCATTGACGGTCTTTAATACCGTTTGATTTATTCTGAATGCGAGCATCTACAGAATCTTTGGACCTTCTTGGATGTCTGAACACTGCTTTGCTACGGTCTCGTCAACCTTCTTAGGTGTCTGACATAATTCTAAAGCACGGTACCGTCACCTAGCGGGAGCCGCTTGAAAGCTGGGCCTCGAAGCAAGCAATGCGAACGAATGAAATGAAGCTGCTTGTCAAATTGCCACCTCGAAACTGATAGTTCCTGCTTGGATACGACCGGTGAACCGTGTTTGTGAAGCCTGTGGGCTGGGCGGAAACGATTTTGTTGTGCAGTTACCGTACTTGGATGAGACCTGTTGTGACCAGGCCTGTCGAAGTTCCTGGGACCCATACTTTTTCTCCCCAGCTCCTCCCCATCTGACCCTGTTTTTGGTGTAGCTGAGCGTTTGGGCGCCCTTAACGGTCACGGGCGCACCCCAAAGTGAAAACTTCAAATCCGGGCCTGTGAAGAGTTAGCACTTGGACGCTAAGGGAAAATTTGGGTGCTCCAAAGCTGACTTAGACACTTTACTAACACAGGATGGCTAGAAAACGTTAAGGGAAAAAACCACTCCTCTCGTGCAACCTAAGGAGAAAGGGGGGGGGGGGGGGGGGGGACCTTAGACGCTAAGGGGAAATTCGGGTGCTCCAAGCTGGCTTAGACACTTTACAAACACAGGATTGGCTAGAAAACGCCAAGGGAAAATCCACTCCTTTCGTGTAAGGAGGAAAGGGGGGGGGGGGACACTTAGACGCTAAGGGAAAATTCAGGTGCTCCAAGCTGACTTAGACACTTTACAAACACAGGATTGGCTAGAAAACACTAAGGGAAAAATCCACTCCTCTCGTGCAACCTGAGAAAAGGGGGGTGGGGTCAGGCAGAATTTGGGGCGGGGGGGGTGGGTCCTACAACCAGAAACCAAAACTTCGAGACAGGGGAAGGCCTGGTTTGGGCCCTTAACGCATCCGGGGAAGGGTCGAGCGAGGCACTTAGTGGCACTGGTGCAGTGCGAATCTAGCACTTTTGGCAGTCGAGCTGGAGCGAAAGTAGCCCGGAATGTTCAGGGCACTAAGGGCATATGCCCTTGAATCGACAGGCCTGGTTGTGACAGGTTCACTCCAACGCCTGATGCAGAACCGAGCTGAGCTACTCTCGGGGTTGCACTCTCAGAAGGGTTGGATGTGGCTTGGTGCAATACAGACGCTTACAGAGCGGTTAAGAGTCAAGCCTTCACTGCTCCTTGAATTTGTCACAGCAACTCCAAACATGCATTTGTTCACATTCGGTCTTCCTGCGTGTGTGTAGGTCTGGTCTGGAGTTGCAGCTGCTGCGCTCGGGAACCAAACGAGGTGCATCACACGCTCGAGGTCGGGAGATGCTGACAGGGAACATCGAAGGCCCCTCCCACAAATCGACGGTTCAGATGACAGTTGCAAAAGTTTGTGCCCTCACCCTCAACGATTGGCTGTCATCGTCTCGTGTGCCCCTTTTCGTCAGGTGAACGAAATCTGGTCAGGTGACGGTGACTGACGAGGTTCTCGAAATTGTTACGAGGTTCCGAGATTGTTACGAGGTTCCGAAGAGGCAAGCGAAGCTCGCATTGGTCAAGCGGTAACCGGACGGATCAGGTGAACCGAATTTGAGGCTCCAGGCAGAAGCTGAGCAGAACTGTATTTGTAACAATTTTCCTAGCATCGTGCTCACTAGATTGGCTCTGCGGGCAAATGCTCAAGTAGATAGGGTAAACCATGGTTATGGCTCCTTTTCCTTAGCGACAGCGTCATGCATACTTCTGTCGGCGAAATCGGTGATATATACGGTATTAGCCCACTGATAATGTATGCTCCAGTTTCAGAGGCCCTAATTGCCAGTTCCACTTCAACTCTGGTCCCCCTTCCTTATCACTGACACAGCTCCTTCCATGTTGGAAGGAAACGGTGGTGGGACGGTGGTATGCCCCCAACCCACCGAGGGCACTTCGGTGCCTTCGATCCCTTTGACTAGGGATCGGTGGGGTGGCACCGATTGACTTCGGGAGACTCACCCTTCGGTGCCACGTGGCGGCACCACATTCCAACCTTCAAGTGCAAGGCGAATTCGGTGTGTTCGGTGTGAAATTCGGTGGTCGAATTTCACCCCAACCGAAATGTTACACGCGGCGCATTCGCGACGCGAGTGTAGCGATGTGATGTTACATGTGCGGTTCGATGTAATGCATTTGCTATAAATCGACCTGCCTTGTATGCATGCTTTATACTGAAATCCTAAATCTTCTTGTACATGGTCCATTCGAACCAAAATTCCAGAGAGGTCTATCCTTGCTTCTAAGAGCACTAGCAATCACGTGAACGCCAATATCTCGGCGTATACTTGGGCGATTAACGTGTTTGACGGCTTGTTGGAAAGCCAAGACTGTGCTCTATCGTTTAGTGCAACTTAGAGTTCCTGCAAAGTAGAGGAGACGCCTCTACAATAGTGGTATCAGAGCTGGTCGGTAGAGTCTACGTGCGCGACTTGTAGCAAGCATGATGACGTCAAGCGAAACCTCCGGCACTTCCTTAGGTGGTGTCGTCTCGAATCCCGGCGAACCCTGGACAAACGCGACGGTGTTCGACACGTCGGCGGTTCCGATTTTCACGGGACAAAACTACTCCGCGTGGAAATTTAAGTTCCAAGTGCTCATGATGGAGCGGGGACTTTGGGGTCTCTTCGACGGAACGGAGAAAAAGCCGGTCAACGAGGACGAGATCGCGGCATGGAAGAAGAAGGACCAAAAGGCGTTCGCAACGTTGATTTCGCGCATCGGCATCAACCTCGTGAGTTCGGTGCGCACGTGCATCAAGCTCGAAGCTTCGGCGCGTGAAGCATGGAAGCGGCTCGAGACGATGCACGTGAACAAGACTCTCCACAGCAAGATCCTAGCCCGAAATGCGTTCTACACGGTGAAGTTGCGCGCGGGCGAATCGATGCACGAGTATGCGACTCGTGTGGAGGAACTCGGGGAAACGTTCATGGACCTCGGTGGAACGGTCACGGAGGAGGATTGGATTCTCACCTTGCTTTGCGGCCTTCCGGAAGAGTGGTCGACGGTGATTACGACACTCGATAGCGTGCAAAACACTTGGACGAAGGAAATGGTGGTCGGTCGGCTTCTCCATGAAGAATCGCGACGCCGACAATTCGCTAACGAGAGCGTGGAGACCGCCATGTTCTCCGGAGGGAGCTCCGGAAAGAAGTCCAAGTGGAGCAACGGTGAGGCAAAGAAGTCGTCCGGTGGAAACGGTCGCGGCAAGGGCAACGCATCGAACGGTTCGAGCAAGTGTCATTATTGTCGCAAAGCGGGGCACTTTTGGCGTGAATGTCGGAAGCGGCCGAGCGATTGGATTCCATCGAAGGCGCGGAACCAAGAGGGCAACGCGCACACGGCATCCGGCGAGGCGGATGATTCAACGGAGTCGCTCGTTTTGTTGGCCGGTGACGGGATCAACACTTCAAACGACGCGTGGTTCCTCGACACCGGTGCAACACAACACATGACGCACTCGGCGTCGCTCCTCAACAACGTCGGTGCTCCGGGAGACGTCAAGCGCGTCGTCTTCGGGAACGATAAATCGCTACCGGTGGTTGGAGTTGGGAGTACGCGTCTCATCGTCGATGGCGGGCCGGTGGACATCACGAACGTGCTTCACGTCCCGGGATTGAAGGTGAATCTACTCTCCGTCACTCAACTCGCAAAGAAAGACGTGAAGGTCACCATCGATGGCGCGAAGATGAACCTCTTTTGGAAGGGGAAGCAATTCGCGCAAGGCGTTCTCAACGGACAACTCTACCAACTCAAGACGCATCCGACAACGGCCTCATCCAACGTGGCGCAAGGCTCCAAGGCGACTCTCAAAATGTGGCATAATCGGCTTGCGCACGCCAACTACGACTCGGTCAAAGAGTTGGCCAACAAAGGACTTGCGAAGGGATTTGACGTGATCGCCGGCAACGACGAGAAGGGCGTGTGCGCGGCGTGTGTCGAAGGAAAAATGGCTCGCAAGCCATTTGGTAGCCGTACCTCACCCCTCGCAAAGGACCCGCTTGCGCTTGTTCACATGGACGTGTGTGGACCGATACGGCATGCATCAAAGGTTAGTGATGCTCGACGACGCGACGCGGATGAGTTGGACCCGACTCTTGAAGGCTAAGGGAGATGCGGCCAAGGCGATTCAAGAGTGGGCGCTCGACGTTTGCGACGACGGCAAGAAGCGGATCAAGTGCATTCGCACCGACGGTGGCGGCGAATTCGTGAGCAACGAGCTTGAAAAATGGATGAAAAGCAAGGGCATTAAGCACGACGTCACGACACCCTACACACCCCAATAAAATGGAGCGGTAGAGCGGCTCAATCGCACATTGATGGAGGCCGTTCGTTCACTTCTTCAACACTCCAAGCTTGGGAACGAGTGGTGGGGAGAGGCGAGTGCGCTAGCGGCATGGATTCGTAATCGTGTGCCAACAAAGGTGCTACCGGGAACGACTCCGTTCGAAGCATGGACCGGAACGAAGCCGAACCTATACCGCCTACGCACATTTGGGTGCCTTTGCTACTACCATGTACCGGATCCACTTCGCCACAAGTTGCAACCGAAAGCTCGTGCGGCGATCTACTTGGGGATTGCGGCGAACGAGCGTGCATGGCGAGTGTGGGATTTGGATGAAAAACGCGTCGTCACGTCTCGGGATGTGATCTTCGACGAAGACAAGTTCCCGACAAAGGAGAAACAAACGCCGCAACTCACCGTCGTCCTTCCCGCACGAGAGGAGGATGAAGCGGTGGAGGTTTCACCGCACGTGAAGAAGGGAGCCGAAAGTGGAGGGGGAGAGAACGAGGAGTGCGATGATGATGTCGAGGAGGTGCCACCAACCGAGGAGGCCACTTCCTCCGCACCTTCTTCCCTACCATTGGCGTTGACTCGCGGGCGTCGTACACCTCGCCCCAACACGAGGTTAACCGACTATGCTACGGTCGCCGTTGGGGAGTCGGATGAGGAGAGTGCGGCGATTTGCCTAGCGACCATCGGCGACGATAACCCACGCACTCACAAGGAGGCTTTGGCTTCCCCGGATGCACCGCTATGGAAGCAAGCGATGGAGAGGGAGTTAGCATCGATCAAGGAGAACGATGTTTTCGAGCTCGTCGACCCGCCGAAGGGTGCCTACTTGGTGGGATGCAAGTGGGTGCTTAGGAAGAAATTGGGAGCCGATGGAGGTGTCGAACGCTACAAGGCGCGGCTTGTGGCGCAAGGGTACACTCAACGGGAGGGGGAGCACTATAGTGAGACCTTCGCTCCCGTTTCGAAGGCCTCCACTCTTCGGGTGTTGCTCGCGCTAGCGGCATCTCTCAACCTCGAGGTGGAACAATTGGACGTTTGCACCGCCTTCCTCTACGGGCTTCTCATGGAAGAAGTCTACATGCGGCAACCCCCGGGGTACGATGATGGTAGCGGTCGGGTGTGGAAGCTCAAGCGTACCCTCTATGGCTTGAAGCAAAGCCCACGCGGATGGTACAAGCGCATCGACGACTTTCTTCTTCAACACGGCTTCGCGCGTAGCGTGTGTGATAGCGCTTTGTACGTGTTGAAGGAGGGGGAGAAGCAATTGGTGCTTTTGCTCTACGTCGATGACCTCCTTCTTTTCTCCGACTCCAAATACCTCATTCGAGAGGTCAAGCAACGGCTAGGGGCGGAGTTTGCCATGAGGGACTTGGGACCGGTGACGTACTACCTCGGGATGCACGTCGACCGCGACCGCGCGAACGGGACCATTCACCTCCACCAAGAAAAATATGTGAAAGGGGTTGTGGAGCGCTTCGGCATGGGTAATAGCAACCCGGTGGGGACGCCACTAGACACGGGATTTTCTTGCCTCCCGGGAGAGGAAGAATCCGCCCTCGACGAAGCCGAAGGGAAGCGGTTTCATTCGCTAGTCGGCTCACTCATGTATGCCGCCGTTTCCACCCGTCCCGACCTCTCATACGCCGCCGGGGTACTTGGACGAGCCGTAAGCAACCCTCATACCGAGCATGTGCGTGCGGGAGGACGTGTTCTACGCTACCTCCAAGGCACACCCAACTTGGGAATCGTATATGAAGCCGGTCCAATCGTGCTTAAGGGCTACACCGACTCGGATTATGCCGGTGATCAAAGCAAGCGCAAGAGTACCGGCGGGTACGTCTTCACCTTGCTTGGGGGAGCCGTGAGTTGGCAAAGCAAGTTGCAACCAACCGTGGCTCTAAGCACAACGGAAGCGGAGTATATGGCACTCACTCAAGGAGCCATGGAGGCAATATGGCTACGGCGCCTTCTAGCGGAGCTTGGGCATCCTCAAGCCGACCCAACTCCTCTCTTTTGTGACAACCAAGCGGCCATAAACCTCACTCACAATGCCGTCCTTCACGGGCGTACCAAGCACATTGAGGTGAAGCATCACTTCATTCGTGAGGTGGTCGAGAGAGGTGAGGTCAAGGTCACATACATAAGCACCAAGGCGCAACCCGCGGATTTCCTCACTAAACCACTCCCTAAGGATTCATTCCGTGCATGCCGTGAGCGTGTTGGTATGAACACCTAGTGGCTTGGGTGCAAGGGGGAGTGTTGGAAGGAAACGGTGGTGGGGCGGTGGTATGCCCCCAACCCACCGAGGGCACTTCGGTGCCTTCGATCCCTTTGACTAGGGATCGGTGGGGTGGCACCGATTGACTTCGGGAGACTCACCCTTCGGTGCCACGTGGCGGCACCACATTCCAACCTTCAAGTGCAAGGCGAATTCGGTGTGTTCGGTGTGAAATTCGGTGGTCGAATTTCACCCCAACCGAAATGTTACACGCGGCGCATTCGCGACGCGAGTGTAGCGATGTGATGTTACATGTGCGGTTCGATGTAATGCATTTGCTATAAATCGACCTGCCTTGTATGCATGCTTTATACTGAAATCCTGAATCTTCTTGTACATGGTCCATTCGAACCAAAATTCCAGAGAGGTCTATCTTTGCTTCTAAGAGCACTAGCAATCACGTGAACGCCAATATCTCGGCGTATACTTGGGCGATTAACGTGTTTGACGGCTTGTTGGAAAGCCAAGACTGTGCTCTATCGTTTAGTGCAACTTAGAGTTCCTTCAAAGTAGAGGAGACGCCTCTACAACATTCCACTCCATATCGAACGTTGCTTGTCACAATGGTTCCTTCCGATATTAGTCCCATGCCTCTTCCCGAGCCTGAGATCTTCGTCGACGTCGCTATAGCGGGTGCTGGACTTGGCGGCCTCGCGCTGGCAGTCGGTCTGCAGGAGCGAGGCTTTAAATCAGTCATGCTCTTCGAGGCCGTGCCTTACTCCCGCTCCCAAACCGGAACGGTTTTCGCCTTAGTTCCCAACGGTGCCAAGGCGCTTGAGGGATTAAAGCCCGGGCTCGGCGACGCTGTCATTGGCTGCGGATCAACGATCACAAAAACTAGGTTCGTTACTCGAGAAAATCCGGCGCCGATTGAATCTGTATCGGCCACTGCTTCTACCAGCGGCGGTAATAGTAGTAGCGGTTCTGCCACTAACGATGCTGCTACTATTGGAGCTGGCAAGAAAAGCGACGGCTGGGTTGTGACGGAAAGGGAGAGAAACCTGACAATTGTGGGATGGGCGCGAGCTCAAGAGGTGCTTGCCTCGTCTCTAACGCGACGCGAGAATATTATGCACGAACATCGCGTCGTGGCGTATTACCCCGTCGTCGCGGGAATGCCAGTTGCGGATTCGAGTGGTGGATCGGACAGTAGTAATGGTGGCGCTGGCGAGAGAGGGGTGGAAGCTGTTGACGTGGTGCTCGAGGTCGTGGGTTCGAATCCCGAAACTGACAAAAATCATTCACCCTCCGCTGTTTCAGGAGGAGCTGAAACCGCAGGAGCGGTGCAGAAGCAGCGTCAGATGGTGGTTCGTGCGAAGGTTCTGGTCGCAGCGGATGGCGTGCGATCAGCTGTGCGAAATCAAATGATCGGCGACTCGCCTCGGTATTTGGAGCAGATTGGTTGGAACGCGCTCGTGCCAAACCCGCCAAGCGCGAGAGTGTACCCGCAAGAAGATCAGGTGTTGCAACTATTCGTGGATAAGGTTACGGGTTACCAGATATTTCTGATTGATGTTGGCCATGGGAAGACCTTCTGGCAGGTATGCCCTCACATAGCATGCTATCGTGTATTTGCTTGCACATCCATTCCTTGCTTTTCTTTTCTTTCATTTCCCTTTTGTTTTGCCTGAACCGAATCAACACAACCTGTCCCCCTAAGATGTTTATCCTGTCTACCCAACCCATCTCCCAATTCAGGTTCGCATTGTTGATCCTGATAGCAAGCTCAAGTCCGAGCTCAAGCTAACACCCTTTGGGGGATTCGGCAAACCAGGCGTGAAGGATCGTTTAATGTGCCATGTCAGCAAAAATGTTGCGGATCCATCAGGCCATGACACCTGGCAAACCGTGCTCCAGGCGGTTACCACCACTGACGCGGGTAACATCTACGAGCGGTGGATGATGGACCGGCCTCCTCCGAAGGATTCTTGGAGCGACCCCAAGTGTGGTAACAGAGTTGTTCTTATTGGGGATGCCGCACATGCCATGCACACCGGTCCAGGGCAAGGAGCTCAAATGGCATTTGAGGATGCACACCAGCTGTCCATGTGCCTTGCTGACGTCAAGGATGTGCTCGCCGAACCTGCTGCCGTGGCTGCTGCGGTTCGGGAGTATGAGGCTCGGCGGATCGAGAGGTGTGTGAAAGTGCATGCTTTTGCCACTGGGTCACATGAGTTTGGAGAGGAGGGGAAACTTGTGAAGGCTCTTTCTCCGCCCGAGAAACTGAAGAGATTTATGGAGTTTGGGAGTTGGGTCCATGCGTATCCAGACAAGATAAAAGGTGACCCTGAATCCACCTACTTCAAATGATCCTTCAACTGCTGTACGCGCAATGCAACCTTGAGTCCACTGGAATCATGTAGGCTCTGGATTAATTTTTCTCGGTGCTTGAAAGTCCCTGGATGGATGTTTTTATTATCTGGCTGAGTGCCTATCTCTGGGTCTGGGCGGTTTGGCTGCTGGAATATCAGCATTGGTCACAGTAAAAGGTTTTTCTGTGTGTCCAAGAAAGAATGTCACTGGTGCCATGTCATGTGGCGTCTTGTAACAGATAAATTTATGTGGGTCTTTACAGTTCAGCTTTTGTGTCACAATCATGTGCAAAATAGCCGAATCTGGTGCACAAGAGTTAGATGCAAGGTGGAGGTGCTGTCTGTGTTATCTGCCATTTACGGTAAAAAACTGAATTGTTGCCTAGGTACTTAGATACTTCAAGTACCGTAGCTTCTGAGATCACTGTAACTATGTGATCGTTGGCCACAACTGTAACTAGCCAGTTTTCCTAACAGCTCCAGCACCAACTGAATCACCATGATCCTTCCCGAGCCCATCAAGGTAACACGATTATCTTGTGTCTCGGAACGGGTCAGCAGTTGAAGGATCATTTGAAGTAGGTGGATTCAGGGTCACCTTTGATCTTGTCTGGGTACGCTTGGACCCACTTCTGTAACTCAAAATACATCTTCCTTTTCTCGAGAAGAGGAAGGGCGTTCACAAGTTTCCCCTCCTCTCCGAACCCATGCGCTGCAGTGGCATACGCATGGATTTTCACGCACCTGTCGATCCGCCAAGCCTCATACTCTCGAACCGCAGCAGCCATGGCAGCAGGCTCGGCGAGCATATCCTTGATTTCAGCAAGGCATAGGCATAGCTGGTGAGCATCCTCAAAGGCAACCTGAGCTCCTTGCCCTGGGCCGGGGTGCATGGCATGTGCGGCATCCCCCATAAGAACAACCCTGTTACCACATTTAGAGTCGCTCCAGGAATCTTTTGGAGGAGGCCGGTCCATCATCCAACGCTCGTAGATGTTACTGGGGTCGGTGGTGGTAACCGCCTGGAGAACGGTATGCCAAGTGTCATGCCCTGAAGGGTCTGCAACGTTCTTGTTGATGTGGCACATCAAGCGGTCTTTGACACCTGGCTTGCCGAAACCACCGAAGGGTGTTAGCTGGAGCTCGGACTTGAGCTGGCCATCAGGGTCAGCAGTTTGAACCTGAAATTGGGAAGATGGTTAGGATAGCAAAGATTTTGGAAGGTGTGGTAGCTGAAGCGATGTGGTTGGTTCGTGTTGAAAGAATGCAGGATGGAAATGCCAACATGAATCGTGCGAGCATGTGCGAACAAAAGTGGATATACCAAGAACGTGCTAGCAGAACGGTGTGGCATGGATGGGTTGGGCTGAGTTGAATTGGTCCGGAAGAAAGACATGAAAGCAGAGAGTGCAAAGGAAATGAAATGTATGCTAAACGAGAGCGTTACCTGCCAAAACGTCTTCCCGTGGCCGACATCAATCAAATATATCTCGTAACCCATAACCTCATCCAAAAAATAAAGTAACCCCTGATCTTCTTGTGGGTACACTCTCGCGTTTGGCGGGTTTGGCACAAGCGCGTTCCAACCAATCTGCTCCAGGTACCGTGGCGAGTCGCCGATCATCTGATTTCGCACGGCTGATCGCACGCCATCCGCTGCGACCAGAACCTTCGCACGAACCACCACCAGCTGAGGCTCCTGCTGCACCGCACCTGTCTCGTCCTCAATTTCATGTTCTTCCGTTTTGGGATTCGAACCCACGATCTCGAGCACCACATCAACCCCTTCCACATCGCCCTCGTCGGCGCCATCATTGCTGCTTTTAGATCCACCATTCCTGTTCGCAACTGGCATTCCCGCGACGACGGGGTGATACGCCATGACGCGATGCCCATGTATAATACTCTCGGGTCGCGTTAAAGACGAGGCGAGTACCTCTTGGGCTCGCGCCCACCCCACAATTGTCTGGTCTCGCACCACTTCCCTCACAACCCAGCCGTCGCGATTTTCACTGGTTAGTATAGTAGCAGCATCGTTAGTGGCGGATCCGGTACTATTACCGCCGCTGGTAGCGCTGGCCGATTCAGTATCTATTTTATCCGCCGATATTTCTCGGATAAAAGACTTTACTTTTGTGACCGTTGAGCCGCAGGCAATCACCGCGTCGCCGAGCCCGGGCTTTAATCCTTCGAGCGCCTTGAAGCCGTTGGGATAAACGCCGAGAATCGTGCCGGTACTGTTGTTCGATCGACGCGCGGCGGGCGCTGCCTCGAAAACGGCCGCCTCGATGCCGCGCGCCTGCAGGCCGGCGGCGAGCGCGAGCCCCGCGAGTCCGCCGCCAGCAATCGCCACGTCCACGTGGAATGAGGGCAGCGGAAGCTCCGCCGCGGCGGTCGGATTTGGCGCCGCGTTTTGCGCCGTGTGCGACGCGTTTCTGGCTGCTTGCGGATTGGAGGAACTTCCCCGCGGCTGCGTGAGCCTACTATCGCCGGCCATGGAGGCGTAAGAGTAGTGGCGGCGTCGCATCGTCATGCGACGACATTGATCCGTCGTTCCGAGGCGCAGGGTCCGAGTTGCGCATTTCGCCGCCGTGGTGAGACGAAGACCAGAGAGTGTGACGGCAGGTGGGGCGAGAAGCGAAGCCATAGCTCCGATGTTCTGATTCTAGGAAGGTGTGGGTAGGAGAATTTGACCTGCAGGGGGACGTTAATGTTCCTATTTCGGAGGAAGAGAGAAAGGGAGGGAGTCTCACTTCCATGACGGCCCCGGGTCGCACGCATTTTCAAAGGCTTCAGGGGAAGGCACGGCGACGAGGGGAATGATTCTGGGAAGGAATCTCGTCTAGAGGAGGAGAAGCGCTAAGGGAAAAGACGGCAGCAAAAGTCGGCCGTACAGGTCCTTAGGGGAGTTTGAGGTGCCACCCTGCAGCTCGATGTAAAGAGATTCTCGGAGGTGACGTGGCTGTTAAGGATTGGAAGACTAAGCCCGAGGTTTCGGGCGCGCGGATTTCGAAACGCCCTGTGAGGCCTGGATTTCTTGCCACACATAGCGGCTTTCTCAAGCCATGTTTCTAGCGGGGAAAGCTACAGGCCACGTGATGGTGAGATTCTAGAGACCAGCGTGCGCACGTGTCAATGGTGGCGGTGAGAAACTCGAGAGGGGGAGGGAGGATCTGTTGAGAATTTGACATACGAATGGGAGGAGCAGAAGGCAGTCAAGCTGGGTTTGGCGTGCAGCCATGACTGGTGGAGTATGTGATGTTGTGCAGCCATCGCGAAAACTGAAAATTTTAAAGTCCAGAGGGCGAGAAGCGATTTGGTTGGTTTGAGAGGGTTGTAGAGGGGTCGTGACGAGGGAATCTGAGATTGTCCCCGAGTACACCGCTGCACTATACCTAAACTATATCAGTTTCAGTAAACAGGTTTAGAGATATTTCTCTATCATGAACACTCATTCTGTGATTTGGGTCACCGTTGCATTCCCAGCAATTGTTCAACAAGGTCTTTAGGTGGTTAGTTTCTAAAACAGCACCTATTCTGATCCTTGGCAATGCAACTAATGTAACTATGGTAATGAGTATTTTTACACAGTTTCAGCACCCAACCAGTGCTTGCAACAAAACACCCGTGCTTGACAATCCGAAGTGCCGGGGTGGCTAAACGGCTCAGTCAATGGTTTTCATCTGCACAGGCACAGCAGTACACGAAGCAAAACCATATTAGGCTGACCAATTTTATCTTCTCGACATACCGTATTCCCCCGGACATACCACCCCCCGAAATAGAGCACCCCCGGGTGGCTTGTGCGGGGGGGGTGCTATAGCGGGCCTCGTTTCTACTATACCCCCCTTTTGGGGCGATCCGGTATAGCACCCGGGGGGGGGGGGGGTGTTATTTACGGGTAATATTGCAGTTTTTGCCTAAATAGCACTGGCCATAGAAACCCTGAATTTATGCTAGGAAAGGGATCGAGGAGGCAGGTGGTGTTAGCACACTCTGCCGAGCATTGCTCGAGTTTGTGGAATGGAGCCGCTGCACAGAAAGAAGGATCAACTCCTTCTCAGTACAAGGACGTGACCGCCCCAGCGAGGCAGCTGAGGCTGTTGCGGGCGCTCCGCCTTTGTGACTGCATGAATCCTCGTCGAGCGACGAGGGGGTGTGTTTTCGACCAATCAGGGCATGACAGTGGGCCTTGTTGGAGCTTGCAATGTGGCAGCTAACCCACGAGACTAACGGTATCGCCCAGTCCTCGGTTTTGCGCACCCCAACCAACAATCTACCACCGCGTCAAACATGTACATTTTGTTCTCAACCTTTTGTGCTATAAAAAAACAATACATTATGTAACGACCTGGGTGTAATGTAGCTTTTTCCGATGAAAAGACCCCCCCCCCCCTTTTTTTTGTGTAGTTATCATAGCACCCTAGGGTGGTATATCCGGGGTAATACGGTAACACCAACAACGACAGGATCATCACCGTACCGATTATCAGCGTCAAGTACCTTCCCGAGCCCGTGTTCAGGCAGTGCATCAAGACAATGCCCCATGCCCTTGTCGATCTTGCAGCTTCCGCAAAAGTTTTTTCACAACATTACAGGAACCTTCCAGAATCCATATCCGCCCAGGCAAACCACCGTTGACGTAGACCTTCCACATACTGCACCTTCCGCATACTGCACCTTCCACATACTGCACCTTCCAGAGCCCAACGTTGACGTAGTGCTTGAAGAAGAAGATGCCTATGCCCTTGTTGATGTTGCGCGCTTGTTAAGTGCTACCTCAATGTATTCCACGGCTCATACTCCCCCAGTCAAACCACCCTTACCATACCTTCCAGAGCCCGTCGTTGAGGTAGTGCATCAAGTCGACGCCTATGCCCTTGTTGATCTTGCGACTGGAGAAGAGGCATTGGAGAGGGGGATGAATGGAGAGCACATGGGATGAGGTGAGTGGTTGATGCCTACGCCCTTGATGCAGATGTAGGGGAGCAATTGAATAAAGGAGAAAAAGACCTTGCAGAGGAATACCTGAGAGGGGTCATGAGGCGGCCTAAGGCATGAGGCTCATGGGGTCATGAGGGGTCATGAGGGGTCATGAGGGGTCATGAGGGGTCATGAGGCGGCCTAAATCGTCTCACCACAGACTGGTCTTGTACATATGAGCGTGCTCTTGCATGTGAGACTATCATATGTCAGGGCATCACATGCCATGCCATCACATGCCATGCCATCACATGCCATGCCATCACATGCCATGCCATCACATGCCATGCCATCACATGCCATGCCATCCCATGCCATGCCATCACATGCCATGCCTCACATCCCATGCCATCCCATGCCATGCCATCACATGCCATGCTATGCCTCACATGTCATCTGACGACATCTTGGTGTATCCAATCGCGAGAGCGTTCTCCTTGCCCTCAGCGAATATGGCCTGGCAGGGCAGGGAAGCAACAACACCACATGGGGTGGGGGGTCGTAGAGTGGAGGAGTTCATGCAGCAGCACAGCACCACATAACCAATGATTCCATATTCAGGGGTTCGATTCTGGCTCAGCCACCATCCATCTTCCCTCCCAGGGACGTGAGCCCAGGACACAAGATGTAGGCTAGGCTCCTACTGACATCACAAACTCATGCTTTCATGGAGTGTTTAAGGGCTGTATTTCAGCTATCACTCACCACAGGGGAGTCTACAGGAATGCCATCGTCCATCTTCCCCCCCAGGGGAGGTGAGTCCCAGACACATGATGTTTGCCCCCGACATCACAAACTTGATCGCGCCCCTTCAGCGTTACACAGTTGCATTCTCTCTCACTCACCACGGGGGAGTCAGTAGGAATGCCGTCGTCCATCTTCCCACCAGGGGAGGTGAGTCCCGGGCACATGATGTTAGCTCCTGACATCACAAACTTGATCGCGCCCCTATCCACCTGCATCTTTCGCATCATATCCGGGTCTGGGGGAAGGGGAAATGGGGGGAGCAAGGGAGGGGTGTTGGCGAATAGGGGAAGATGGGGGTTCGCTGGCTTGATCGCACCCCTATCCACCTGCACTTGCACATCATGTCCGGGTCTGGATGGGGGGGTTTTGAATGGAGGTGGGGAAAGCGGAGGGGTTGCGAATGGGTGGGGTGGAAAGAAATGGAGAAAGAATTGGAAGGGATAACGGAAAGGAAAGGAAATGAAGGAATAAAGAAGACATGCCGACAAGAGACGAAAACATTTCGCCGTCAGTAAATAAGTCAGCTAGAACCGTCGTTATGGGATGTGGTGTGAAGTGGTGCGAATGCATAACACAAGTGGCGAGGCGACTTACATTGATGCAGCAGGCGAAGCGTGGGCATGAAGGGACCGTCCCTCACATTGAAGAAGAGGGGAACATTATTCATGACCACGATACTCACGTGATTGGGGCTGCAGATACAAATGGAGGGGGAGGGCGGGGGTTGGGTGGGCGAGGGCGAAACAGTTGGGGTGAGCATGTAAGGGGCCGTCCTCGCATTGAAGAAAAGCGGAACAGTATTGATCACCACTATGCTCACGTGGTTGGGGCTGCAGATACGGGAATTGGTGACAGGGGGGTAATGCACAGCGCACAAGGGAGGGAGGGTGGGGACAGGGTGGGTGAGCATTAAGGGTGTCGTCCCTCACGATGAACAAGAGCGAAACGCCATTCATCACCACGATGCTCACGTGGTTGGGGCTGCATATACAGGGGATGATGACCTACATGGGGTGTTAGTACGGTAAACAGAAATTATAAGCTGGACTACAGAATTCGGTTAACGACCTAATGTAGGGGAAAAAAAAAAAAAAAAAAAAAAAAACACTATCAGTTGCTTGATCAAGTCACGAACAATATTCTGGTTATTAAAGCACTCTCCCCCACCCCCCCCCTTCCCTTCCCATTCCAAAAAAAGGCGAGGCTTCACACACCATTTGGCAATCACAATGGGAGACTTTTTTGGTAGGAGGTCCTCCAAGACTGAGTCCAGAGATGGGTACTGCGAGGGGGGAAGGATGGAAAGGGGCGGATTGAGAGGACAAAGTGGGAGAGAATCACATGGGGAGGTGCGAGAGGGGCGCAGCGCAGCGCATGGGGAGTGTGCTGTTGAGACCCGCTGAGGCGCCTCAACGGCCCTTTTTTGGTAAGAGGTCCTCCAATACTGAGTCCAGAGATGGGTACTGCGAGGGGGGAAGGCGGATGGGAGGGCGCGAGGGGAGCATGGGGAGTGTACTTCAGAGGCGCTTCAATGGCCCTTTCTGGACAAAAGGTCCTCCAAGACTGAGTCCAGACTCGGGTACTGAAAAGGGGGAGGGATGAAAGGGCGGATTGAGAGGGAAAAGTGGGAAAGAATCACATGGGGAGGCGCAAGAGGGGCGCATGGGGAGTGTGCTGTTGAGACCTGTCAAAGTCCCTTTTAAGGCGAAAGGTCTACTGGGTTGGGTCTAGTTTCGGGTCGGGTACTTTCAGAGGAGAGAAGAGCAGGGCACAGGGAGTGCCTTTTGAGTCCACTCAAAAGCCGTTTCGGGTCGGGAACTTTTGCGCACCTCGCAAATGAGCGTCAGATGAGAGAAGAGCAGGGCACAGGGAGTGCCTGGGTTAGTCTGCTGCGCGCTGAGTAATATGTCAGAAGACCGAGTGGGTCTAGTTTCGGGTCGGGTTGGGTACTTTCGCCCCCCTCGCAAATGAGCGTCAGATGAGAAAAGGGCACAGGGAGAGTGCTTGGAACCCGGGAGCATCCATAGCCAAGTCTCTGCTTCTATGCTTTTTTGAGAATTCTAAAAAAACACAAGAATTCTCAAAAAGCACAGAGAGAGTGCTTGAAACCCCGGAGCATTTTGAGGCGCCTCAAAATGCACCTCACTACACAGGGAGAGTGCTTGGAACCCCGGAGCATCCATAGCCAAGTCCCTGCTTCTATGCTCACCTCCTCGGCTATGGATTGCCGAATTTTGCGCTGAACAGATGCTTTGAGCTGATTCTGCCCTGCTACCTCATCGTTGGAGAATCTGTGTGACGAGAGGGGGAAGGGCAAAAGGGGAGGAGGGACGGGGGTCAAGCAGCGTTGAACACGCCTTGAGCTGGTTCTGCCCTGCTACCTCATCGTTGGAGAATCTGTGTGAAGGAAGACAGGGAGGGAGCAGATACGGTTATCAGCCGGGACTGAATTGACAGGCAGGCGACGGAATGACTCAACTCAGTAATCGTATGAGTTGAAGAAAGGGAGGCAGAAACCGCGCGATGCACTGTGCAAAATGAGAAGACAAGACGGGGGCGTACTTTTTAAACATCACGAGTCGCGGAAACAAGACGAAAAGGAGGGCGTGGATGCTGGCGGGCAAGCGGATTCTCAGAATAAGCGTATGACACGACCCGCGGTTGAGACGTCGTAAGGCGTTAAGTGAATGGCCCGAGGCGCTAAATCAGATCAGACCTACGAACTCGGGGATTTAGTATTCGAACACAAATCATACGCCTGCAGCATGTACCTTGAACCCAAAATGTCTGAAAAACAGAAACCAGGCCGTAAACTGCTCTGAAAACAGCCCAGTCTCAACAAAAGATCAGCGGCCATCGAGTATTGGCATTTCCCTCGTTTGGTAACCGTAGTAGCAGAAATTGACTGAACGAGTTGTTCATTGCCTTTTTCGTGGCCCGCCATTGGCAGACGAGAATGCAAGAAAGAATGCGACGTCATCTGTAACCTATCAACTGCTACTGGATGTGAAAGGAGAATGTAAAAGATCTTCATGTATGTTATACGCGCTACTAGCTGGTCCTTCACTGAAACAATAAAATGATTTTTTATCGTGCTCTTTTCAAAGAATAGTGTACCGCATAGGTACGTTCAAAATTTCCGAAATGTCAACATTTCATGGATTCGCCGACTAAGCCAGGCTGAATCGAAGTACCACCAATTAGGGTTTCCTGTACTCGCTATGAATCGCCCGTCCTTCAGGCCGCGGCCAGTGGACATCAATAAGAAGCTCGCGATCGTCCGATCGACAGACGAGCTGAACGCGGAGGACGAGGGCGTATCGAGGACCGTCCATCATGGCCACATCGCTCTCGATGCCGAAAACGAGCAGGTCCAGACCGTCCGCTTCTCTGGAAACCCTAAAAGACATCCCTTCCGTCATTCCCTGCATCGATGACTGGATTCTGCAGGGCGTCGCTATGCACACACCGACGAGCATCAGTCAGCGAATATTCTCCGAATTTTATCTAACAGATCTGACGTGTACTTTCTGTCGACATCTTGTGTTCGTGTCATGTCCTGCCTACGTGGCAGATCCTGCCCGCACCGTCAAAGAAGGGACCGTCCGTGGAGATCCCGACACCTCACTGCGGCGTGGTCGAAGCGTACGACAAGCTGTACCCGGCGAACTTTCGCCAACCGTCGTCGTACATTCGCAGCAAGCACGGTGCGACATCCTCGCTTTGCAAATCCGACGGTTAACTGGTCTGTCTTTGTCTCGGCCTGTCCAGTTGTCGTGCTGTCGCGGTGTGATAGCCATTCTGTGCTGTTGTGCTTCCGTGATGTTGTGATGTTCTTATCTCCTCCGTGATATCCGCCGCGCAGTGCGGCAGGACGACGGGGTGTACGTGGAGTATGATCTGGATGACGAGGACGAGGACTGGCTGGAAGTGCTCAACCAGAACAGGCTGCTGCTCGCTGCAGACAGGTACAGTGCGGTGCAGTATGGTGCTGTGTGAGTACATGTGGTACAGTACGGTGAAGTACGGTGCAGTGTGACAGAATTATGATTTGGACGACGAGGATGAGGACTGGCTGAAAGTGCTCAACCAGAACAGACTGCTGCTCGCTGCAGACAGGTACAGTGCGGTGTAGCGCGGTTCAATGGGGCAGCTGCTGGGTGCAGAGTGGTACAATGCGATCTTGCCACAGATTTCTAACGCATGCCACGTCATCATCCTATGCCACGTCATCAGGCTGGAGTGGATGATCTACCAGATGGAGCTCCTGGATGCGCGGGCGAGGGCCAAGGCAGGGACGGCCATGCTGGCAGGCGCGGTGGACCAGACGGGTGCTGCTGGGCAGGTGTCATCTGGGGGGGTGCGAGTGCCGGTCCTGCTGCAGCAGCAACAAGCTGTCGATGTGAGTTTCCGTTCTGCTAAAGAGTTTTGAGGCACGGCACCACAAAACAGGTGTCATCTGGGGGAGTGCGAGTGCCTGTCCTGCAGCAGCAACAAGCTGTCGACGTGAGTTCCCGTTTCTGCTGTACTCGTTTTAGGCAAGCCCGTTTTACACTGGTTTTTGGAGTTTGCACGAAATAGATCTCGCACTTGTTTCTTGAGCAGGCTCTGAGAGCCCAGGTGCCAAGGCAGGCCATCATCGCTGCAGCGTACGACTACTGGCGGTCCAAGGGAGCGCTGGGGGCAAACCCATTTGGCGACTCAGTACTGAACATCTGTGTCTCCCTTCTGTTCGTCTTTCCTGCTTGCAGTCGTTGAGAGCACAAGTACCAAGGCAGGCCATCATCGCTGCAGCGTACGACTACTGGCGGTCCAAGAGGGAGCGATGGGGGAAACCCATTTTGCGGCGCCTGCAGCCCTCGCCTGCCATCACCGACACGAACCCCTTCAACGTTTTCCGACCGAGAGAGAGAGCCCACCGGCCCAACACACGGCGGGTATGTGAGAGTTGAGGTAGATTTAGCAAGCATGCACCACGGACACCAGCCCTTTCACGGACCCATTCTGCGGCGAATGCAGCCCTCGCCTGCCATCACAGACACCAACCCTTTCAACGTTTTCCGACCGCGAGAGAGGGCCCACTGCTCCAACACACGGCGGGTAATTCTGAGCTAGGGTGTGTTGGGCTCACACAACTCAACACGCATCACATGCCAGACACGCATCACATGCCAGACACGCATCACATGCCAGACAGGCATCACATGCCAGACACGCATCACATGCCAGACACGCATCACATGCCAGACACGCATCACATGCCAGACACGCATCACATGCCAGACACGCGTCACATGCCAGACACGCATCACATGCCAGACACGCGTCACATGCCAGACACGCATCACATGCCAGACACGCATCACATGCCAGACACGCATCACATGCCAGACAGCAACCCCCTTAACGTGTTCTGACTCATGAGACGTGTACAAATTGACATTGCCGTGTTGAGCGTGCTTTCAATCTCACTCATCCCCCTTGTGCCGAGCGTGCAGATGCAGCGGAGGGAGAATGACATGGCATCATATGAAAAGCTCGTGCGGGTGCGTCTTACTTCCCTGTCAATGTGATGCCACCATACTCGTTCCGATTATTCAAATGATGTGTTGCCGATCGATGGGCTTTTTGTGCCCTAGAAACGTCTCTGCCGCACCTTCAATGTTGAGCCTTTGATTCCCTTCCATGCCTTAGAGTCTCGTTTTGGCAATTCCGTTTTTCATTCATCCCCTTTTGTAGCAGGTCCAGAAGAACATTGAAGATGCCTTGCAACTGGCACAGGCTGTTGAGAGAGTGAGTGCAGATTCGCTCTGGCTGTGCTGTCTCACCCTGCCCTGCCTCCCAATATTTCTGGTTCACTGCTCTCTCCTCAGAGCTGCTAGTTTCTCACCACTGTCTACCCATTCTACCTCACCCATTCTTCCTCTGCGTCTCATGCCTTGCTCTCTGGTGGCATCCATGTTTCCGCGTGTAGTGAGTCGATTTTTGAGTCGACTCAAAAATCGACTCTGCGTCTCATGCCTTGGTCTCTGGTGGCATCCATGTTTCTCGTCTTCGTTGGTTCCATTGACGCCTTGACGCCTTAACGCCTTGACGCCTTGACGCCTTGACGCCTTGACGCTTGCGACGTGAAGCGAGGTTGTTTTTGAGACGTCTCAAAAACAACCTCGCTTCACGTGGTTCCTCTGCGTCTCATGCCTTGGTCTCTGGATGCATCCATGTTTCTCGTCTTCGTTGGTTCCATTGATGCCTTGACGCCTTGACGCTTGCGTGCAGAGGGAGGAGAGGAAGCGTGAGCTAATCAATTGCGAAGTGGCGTTGCAGCAAGCAGCGCTCTCGGATCGGGTAAGTCGAGTGTGTGTGTGTATCTGTAGTGTAGCGGTGCTCGTTGTAAGCAGTAATCCTTTGTGAATTGACTCTCAAGCAAGGAATCAGCACTTCCTAAAGCTCTCAAAGCGGGTGCATATGGGAGTCTGAGAGAGCAGCGTTTAGGTGCATGCATACGGGCATGGGGAGTCTGAGAGGGCACTACTTAAAGCTCAAGGCCCAAATTGATACGAGCTGGCTTTTGAGAATTCTTAAAGCTCAAGGCCCAAATTGCAGGCCGCGCAGGGCAAGATTAGTAATCTTGCACACTTCTCGTTTTTTGTGCTGTATTTTGGCGAAAATCTGGTTACGGTAGTTGCGACGCAATCTGATTTGGTCGAAGCAACACTCACTGCCAAAACATCAGGTTTCACTACTCTGCAATTTGGGACTCGAAGTCCCCAAACGCACGCTCCCCCCTGAAGCTTGCTGACTCAGCGAAAAGACAAGTGTTGCGGCGAAATCAGACAAGTCAACAACCCCCACCCCTCAGCACCCAAACTTGCGCAAGATTTAAGTGCCATGGCTTTATGGGTATGGGTGCACGAATCCGTCCTGTCCTCCCATCTGCACATCTATCTGTCCATCCATGCATGACACGTCATGGATGCATCATGGATGCGTGATGCATGCATAACTGTTACTGTTTCTCTCGCCATCCCAACGGGTTAGGATCACCAGCTAGCAGATGACATTCTACTGTCCTTTTTCTTTGTGCCGTTAGCAGGGCTAAGGGTTCGAATCAAACTGCAGGAGCATCACAATGTGTCATAAGCATCACATTGTTCTCTGTATGTGTTTACGTTCCATTGTCGTCATTTTCTCCAGGAAATCACGGTGCAACAAGCAGAGGCCCTTGGGATCATCCCAGACCTCTCCTCCTGGATCCCCAAGCCTTTCCCTGGAGCCACCTCAGAAGACCAGCACCACCAGCAGCAGCAGCAGCAATACCAGCTCCTACCACCTCCTGCTGGCACTACCATCACCGCCACCAGCACCACCAGCACCGGCGCCCCTACCTTTGCCACTCTAGGTGGCCTCCCTCCCGCAAATCACTTTGACAATATCCTCTCGGTCACTCGCCGCCGAGGCTCCGTCGGAGCAGGAGGGATCGCAGCAGCAGGATCAGCCGCAGCTGCAGCAGGGGGGACGTTACCAGGAGCAGCAGGAGGCTGGGCTGGGTGGTTACCAGACGCTGCGACTGTAACCTCAGGGCCGGTAACCGATGCAGTGTCGCCTCTAGACCATCTGCTCCCGCTCCTGAAGAAGAAGAGGCGGAGGCAGGTGGTGTTTCCCCGAGGGGGCAGGCTGAGTCGCGTGCTTCGTAGCGCCCCTCCTCCTGACATACCCATGCCGTTCACCCGCTCGTTTTCCCTCGAGCAGCTCGCTGCTCTGCACATACAGCCGCCTCTGCTCTCCCACCGGCCCCCTCCGGTGTCCCTCTGGCCTCTTCCTCCTGATTCACTCTGCCTTTCACCTCTGGTACCGTCATCTGTATCGGTGGTGGAGGGGAGAGAAGCGGTGAGGGAGGGTGTAGAGTTCAGGGTGAGGGGGAGGGTAGGCAGGGGGGGGAGGTTGATATTCGATCGCTGGGATGTGATGGAAGGAAGGCCGTTAGTGGCGCCTGCACCTGCTATCACTGCTGTTCCTGCTGCCGTGCCTTGTGCCATTCCTGCTGCCGTACCTGCTGCTCCGGCTGTTGCCGTGCCTGCTGCCGTGCCTGCTGCCGTACCTGCTGCTGCGGCTGTTGCTGGGCCTGCTGCCGTGCGAGAGGCAAACGAGAAGGATTTGGCACCAAATGCGTCCATGCAGAATGACCTGCAGAGTGCACCAACTGACCTGTCCTTGAGTGGAGCTGTAAGGAAGGATTTAACCGTCAGCGCTGCTGCTAGGGAGGACTCTCATCCTCCAGCAACAGCAGCAACAGCAGCAGCAGCTGCTGGAAGCTCAGATGCCTCTACTGGTGTATCAGCAGCGGGGAACAGTGCTGTTCCTGCTCCTCCTGCCTCCGCTCGTTCTCCTGCTCCAACTGTGCATGCATCTGCACCATTCAACAGCCCTATTCCTTCCACTGTCCCACCCTTTACTCCTCAATCGAAGTCCGCTGCTCCTCCTGCATTCAATGCTGCACCTGCTACTGTTGCTGGGACTGGTGGTACTGCTGCTCCTCCGTCTGCTGCTGCTGCTGCTGCTGCTGCTGCTGCTGCTGCTGCTACATCCCAATCTGCAGCCATTACCAACCATTCCGCCACCGCAGCAATTGCTGCTGTTCCTCACACACGAGCCCTTGCCCCTTTTCCTTCCCCTGCACCTACCTCTGCCCGTGCTTCTGCTGCTGCCGCTGCCGCTGTGCCTGGAACCACTAGACCCATGACAAATGTCAATGGTGCGGGTATAGGGTCCAAACCTGGACCCAACACTACTGCTGCTGCTGGTGGGGTAGCTTATAGACGTTCAAACAGTGGAAAGGCTTTTGGGATAGGCTCTTCCCAACCCGCAGCTGGTGGTAATGCAGCGGATGTAGGAGGAGCAAGGGGTGGAGTGGGTGTCGGAGGGGTTCAGAGCGGTGTGAGAGATGTGGGAGGAGTAAGAGGTGGAGAGGGGGGTGTAGGAGTTGCACGGGGTGGGGTGGGTGCAGGAGCGGTTAGGGATGGTGCTGCTGGGTCAAAGGCTCCAGTCCCAGGGGAGCCAGGTGTGGCTTCACCTTACATGCCACCGAAGCAGCGATCTCATGCACAGCGGGCAGATAAAAATGTGTGAATCGCATATGAGGTGTAGCTGATGAGGCTGCTTCTGCATTTCAGTGAAGCCTGGAGAAAGTTGGCAACAATTTATGTACAGGTGTACTAAACAGTGGAATCTCCAATTGGTTGTTTTTGAGCAAAATGGGTTTTCTGTGAGCAATGAACGGTTCACCCTCGATATTGGCACATGATTCGCATCCTTCACCCCTCAGCCCTCGGTAGTGGAACCCTTGCCTCTCTCCCCTCCATCCCTTCGCCAAGACGCAACGGAACACGCGCAACTAGGTCTGCTTGTGCTTGTTAGAATCTGCTCTAGACTAGTTAGTAGTCAGCTGGAAAAACGCGTTTCGACTAGTTTTGCCAGTTAATGAACCTTATCGTAGTAGATGCTCCAGACACTTATCGTGTTAGATGCTGGCATGTTGACTGTTTGGCTAGTTTGCCAGACGAATAGCATGCGACCAGGCAAGTGAGGGAAAGGTCGCGATATTACCCATCGAATAAGCCAAAGTTCTAGGACTAGCGTGAAATTCAGCTGCGGTAGAAAGAGACTGCAGTGAAATTCGTCAGGTTTACAACGAGATTAATGGCAACAGAGGACTTTGCTCACGCTGACGATAGACAATAGGAATGTGTCGGAATAATAATGCTTGCAGGAGGGCTAGAGGCGTGTGCGATTAGCGATAAATCCGCGACTTTTTTCGAACCGTACCCAAAGTAGCAGCGATTGCAGCAGAAGCGATGTGACAACAGCGGGAGTGATGAGTAACGCCTGATGTGACAATAACGGGTGACGCTAGGATTCTTGACATCGTTATCGGTCAGCGACGCTCGGTTGACCAGGGATAAGCAGATTCGAGCAGAGTACGCATGAGAGGATGACGTCAGCGAAGAGGGTTGGTGACGTCAGCGGCAAGGGGGAGGAGGGTTCGCGGAAAGCCGTTTCAAAAAGGGTTTCTCCGGAAAAGGGTAGGAGGAGCGAGCGCGAATGGCCTGAGAAGGGCGGTTATGGAGCTCGACGAATGGAGAGGCGGGGAGACCGCAGCAGCAGCAGCAGCAGCAGCAGTGGCGGCAGCAGCAGTGGCGGCAGCAGCAGCAGAAGTAGGAGTAGGAGGAGGAGCAGGGATAAAGTTGATAATGTTAGTAGAAAAAAGGGCAGGAGTAGAAGCAGGAGCAGCAGCAGCAGCAGGAGCAGTAGGGGCGTAAGTCACAGCAAGAAACGGGTTAACGGCAAGAGAAACAGAAATAGAAGCAGCAGTAGCGGCAGCAGTAGCAAGGGCAGGGGTAGGAGCAGGAGCATTGATAGATACTACAGCCGGGGGAAACCGAACGGCGGACGTGCAGGGAGGAAAATCAAAGACTCCAGCAGTAGCGATAGCAGCAGCAGGGGAAGGGGCAGAGGTAGGAGAAGGAGCAGCAGCAGCAGCAGCAGCAGGAGCAAGGGCAGGAGCAGGAGCAGCAGCAGGGGCAGCAGCAGGAAGAACGGTTGGAGTAGAAGCAGCAGTGGGAGCGAGGAGGAGGAGGAGGAGGATAGACGTAGGCCCAGAGACTTAACTGCCGTTAGGAGGAAGAGAGAGAGCGAGAGGAAAGAAGGGACAGAGGGACGGGGTAAGGAGCACTCAGGGCCTGCTGCTGGTTCATTGAATCTAGACTTGAAGAGTCGACGGGGATTGCAGGAAGGGGGAGAAGGAAGGGTGGTTGGTGGAGTGAAGGAGAAGGAGAAGGAGAAGGAGAAGGAGAAGGAGAAAGAAGAGGGGTTTGTTGGGAGGAGAGAAGGCGATAAGAGCAGGAGGGATGGAGCGAGGGACGGAGGGAGGTGTGGGAGAGGAGAGGCGGGTGTGAGGAAAGGTGGAGAGAATGAAAGGAGGGACAGTGAGAGAGAAAGGAGGGACGGCGATAGGGGGAGAAGAGAAGACGAGAGGAGGGGGCGGGAGGGAGAGAGGGACAAGAGGAGAGATGCGCCAAGAGAGGCGATTAAGATCGTTGATGTTAGGGATATAATAGCGTCGTCCCTGCAGGGGCGAAATGAGAGAGACACGCGAAAGGAGCAGGTTGTGAGGGAAAGTCTTAGACGGGGGGAGAGTAGGGGAGGCGAGTGCAGAGGAGGGGAGGAAGGAGGGGTGGGTCCGGGAGAGGAAAGAGGAGAGAGAAAAGGCGGGAAGGGGAGAGGAGAGGGTGTGAGAGAAGTGTTGGGAAGAGAAGGGCGTGTGGGAGGGGAATCAGCAGAGCGAGATCTGCGAAGCATTGGATCACTCAGATCACCTGGAGGGTACACAGGACGTGACTGTGATATCAATGACAGGGATGGGAGACGGCGTGTTGATGAGAGAGTGGGGGAGAGCTTGAGAGGAGGGAGATATGGTGAGGGAGATAGAAGGAGACATTTGTTCGGAGAACAAATGCGATTCGGAGAAAGCAGCAGAGCACACAACGAGGAGAGGAGCCCGGGTGGGGTTAAAGGTGTATTTTCTTTGCAGGAGAGGAATTTGGGAGGGCTTTCTGGCTTATCTGGGCGGCAGTATGATTTGAGGAGGGGAGAAGAGCGGAGAGAGTGGAGGATGGAGGAGGAGGAACGGTGGGAGCTTGGAGATAGCAGGGTGGAGGGGAGGAGAGAGAAAGGAGGGAAAGAGAAAGGGAGCGAGGAGGGTGTGGGAGGAGAGAGGGTAAGGGAGGAGGTTGAGGGAAAAGAGAGTGGAAGAGAGGACGGTGGAGGAAAAGAAATGAGAAATGAGGAGGGTGGGGGAAGAGAGAGAGGAAGGGAGGAAGGCAGCAGGCTTATGCATGGTCGAGATAGTGGAAAATTGAGGGGACGTTCGTTGGAGGACGAGGAAAGGGGGCGTTCTTTGGAAGGAGAAGAGAGGGGAGGGGGTGGGGATTGGGAGAGGAGGAGGGCTCGAGACGAGGGAGAGAGGGAAGAGAGAACAGCAGGTAGAACCTCCAGAGGCAGCGAGGGGGAAAGGAGGCCGTTTGCTTCATTCCTAGAGGGGGACAAGAGGAGTTTCCAGTCACCTCAGGAGGCGGAAAGGCGGACTTTCCAGTCACCGCAAGAGGGGGAACGGAAGAGGTACCAGTCACCTGAAGAGGGGGATAGGAGGCCGGGAAGGGCGTGGAATCCCGGAGAGACAGGGGGAGGGGGGGTGTTTCAGAAAGGGCAATGGGTGGGGCGGGGAGAGGGGAGGGGGGATAGGGAGGCAGGGGTGGGAGGGGGGAGGGGGGATAGGGAGGCAGGGGTGGGAGGAGGCTCAGGGGGCCATTATGCAGGGAGGGAGGACAGGTGGAGGATGAGGGAAATGGAGGAGTGGGGCTATGGTGGTGTTAGTGGTGGTGGTGGTGGTGGTGGCGGTGGTAGAAGCAGGGGACTTGGACAGGGTAGGGGTGACGGGGGTCGTGATGGGGGTGGCAGGTGGATGGACAGGAGAGGGGGGCGGGGAGGGCGTGGGTGGGGAGAGCGCGGCGGAGGGAGGTTTGAGGGCTCTTCGTGTACTGCTTTCCCTCATAGCGCTATGGCTCTGGGTGCTGCTCGTGGTAGTGCTGTGGGAATTGGTCTTCAGGATAGGGGCATGGATACTGGGACAGAGAGGGGAAGGACAGAGAGAGGAGGGGCAGAGAGGAGTGGAGAAGAGAAGGGAGGGGCGACTGGTAACTCAGTTAGTAAGAATGAGCCAGCGTGGGAAGGCAGTTCGATTGAAGGTACTACTGCCTTTCTAGATGCTCCTCCTGGGTTCGGCCCTCCTGCTTTTATTGCAGCTGCTTATAAGAGGGCGTCAGGTGCAGAGGCCACACCACCGGAGGCAGGGGCAGGGAAGCTAGAAGGGGCAGCAGCAGCAGGTGTTGTGAGTGAACGTGGAGAAACAATGTCGGGAGGAAATACTTGTGCAGCAGAGGGAGGAGGAGCACACATGGGAATAGAGATGCAAGGAGGGACAAGTGGAGAGACGGGAGCAGGTAGGGGAGGAGCGATGAGCGCAGGGGCGGGAGGAGAGGGGTATGCAGTGGGGATGGGTGCGGAGGAGTGCGATGCGTGGTGCCTCTTGGATGAGGCGCTGGGAGCAACAAGTGGGCCTTTCCCCTTCAGCCACGTTCAGCAGCAGTTTGCAGCAGGGTGAGTTTGTTGTGACCCAAGTTGCAATCTGATGGCATCCTGTTTAATCACGTTTTCAGTCACGTTCAGCAGCAGTTTGAAGCAGTGTGAGCGTTTTCAGTCACGGTTTCAGTCATGTTCAGTGATTTTCAGCACCAGTTGGCAGCAGAGTATGCAAATCAGAGCTTCAGATTTCACCATGGCCAATGGCTTATATCATTCTGGTACATGATTGTATGTTGCATCTGGTTATGGTTAGTCATATTCTGCTGGTTAGTCATATTCTGCTGGTTAGTCATATTCTGCTGGTTAGTCATATTCTGCTGGTTAGTCATATTCTGCTGGTTAGTCATATTCTGCTGGTTAGTCATATTCTGCTGGTTAGTCATATTCTGCTGGTTAGTCATATTCTGCTGGTTAGTCATATTCTGCTGGTTAGTCATATTCTGCTGGTTAGTCATATTCTGCTGGTTAGTCATATTCTGCTGGTTAGTCATATTCTGCTGGTTAGTCATATTCTGCTGGTTAGTCATATTCTGCTGCTTGCATTGCATCTGCTGCTTGCATTGCATCTGCTGCTTGCATTGCATCTGCTGCTTGCAGGGCGATTGAGCTGAGCTAGAGCTACCTCAATAGTTGACGTTTGACTAGTTTAGATAATTTCCTCATTGATCCATCTGAGGTACATGATTGCGCTTGGCCAGCTTTCCTTTCCCCCTCCCTTTTTCCCGCTCTCTTCCCTATCCTCTTTTGAGGCGCCTCAAAAGTCCTCTTCTTATACCACCATCTTTGAACGTCCCTCCACCCCTGCGACCGAACCACCTGTAGGGAGCTGCCGGATCATATCCTGGCCTACCCGGAAGGCTCGGATGCCGAGCCTATCCCCCTGGCTCGGGTGCTGAAAGGGGAAGCTTCCGTGCTGCTTCACTTTGGAGTGTCCCTTCCCTCAGACTCCTTGCTTCCAGCATCTCAGCAGCAACAGCCAGCAGTACGGCAGCAGGAATTTGAGCAGCAGCAACAGCCGCAACAGCCAGAGCAGCACACGATGATGTCTATTGTTTCTCGGGCAGGGACAGGATTAGGAGCAACATCAGGACGAGCAGGACAAGCAGGGAGGGACGATTTGACTGCACATCCTGCTGTCGTTGCTTCTGCTTCTGCTCCTGCTGCTGTTACCAGCACAAATATCGCTGTTGGAGATGCAGTGATCGCCGGGGGTACAGGGGAGGACGGAAGGGGGGAGGAAGGCCAGAGGGAGGATCTGAAGAAAAAGGAGGAGGAAGAGAGTGGGTTGTTTTGGACGTATCTGGGGGAAGACAAGGCACCCAAGGGCCCTTTCTCCATTGTGATGCTGCGATGGTGGCTGCAGTGCGGGCATCTCACGCCCACCCTCATGGTATGTGTGGTGTGGTGTGGTATGGTATGGTGGGATTCGATATGCATGGAATGGAAGACAAGGCACCCAAGGGGCCGTTTTCAATTGTGATGCTGCGATGGTGGCTGCAGTGCGGGCATCTCATGCCCAGCCTCATGGTATGTGTGGTACAGTGCGATACGGCGGTGTGTGGGTGTGGGATGGAGTGGTGATGACTTGTATGGGGTTGTTATGCGTGCAGGGCTGTGATGTTGAGATGGTGGCTGCAGTGTGGGCATCTCATGCCCAGCCTCTTGGTATGTGTGGTACAGTGTGCAATGGTGTTTGGGATGGTGGTGGGTGAATGACATGCATGGGGTTGTGATGCATGTGACTGTGTGATGGTACCTTTTGAGTCGACTCAAAAGCATGAAGGAGTTGTGATGCATGTGACTGTGTGAGGTACCTTTTCTCTCCCCCTCTCCTTCTCCGTTTCTCCCCACGCCCCACCCTCACTCAATATTCAATTACTCATCCTGACGTGGTTTGAAGTTCAATCTCCCACTGCGTCCTGCCTGCCTGTCTCCCCACACCCCATCAGTTGTGAGATATTCGCAACATGCATACTCCTCCCATCCTCCCATTGCTGAGGCGCCTCAAACGCAGCTCATGCTTCCCACTCTCTCCCTCTTGCCTGTTCCCCCCACACATCCCATCAGTTGTCAGATATTCGCAACATGCACACTCCTCCCATCTCCCTGGGGGTTCTGCTGGGGAGACACCCATCCAAGCCACAGCAGCAACACCAGCAGCATCAGCAACAGCAGCAGCCGCTGCAGCAGCAACAGTACCAGCAGCAGCAACATCAGCAGCAGCAACAGCTACTCCCTTCCTCCACCCCTCCGTCCCTCGACGCCCTTTTTTCCACCTCACTCTCTCTCGTCCGCACACGTCTGCATACCCTTGTGCTGCAATCCCTGCACTGCCCCTCCTTCCTCAACGCTGCTGTTGGCCCTCACCTCACCTCTGCTCTCTCTAACCGCACCTCTGTGCTCTCTGAATCGACTCAAAAGTCGCCCCACCTGACCTCTGCTCTCTCTAACCGTGCCTCTGTGCTCTCACCAGCTCAAGCCGTTCCTGCTTCCCCTCCTGCCGCTGCTGCTGCTGCTCCCTCTAGTGCTGCTGATCCTGCTGTTGCTGCTGCAGCTGCTGGTGTTTCTGCTGATGCTGCTGGTGCTGTTAGTGCTGCCGGTGCAGTTGTTGGTGCTGGTGATGGGAATAATAACAGTTCCGCTGCCATTCTCCCTGCAGCTGCTGCTGCTGCTGCTGTTGCTTCTCCTCCACCTCTTCATGACCCTCCTCCTGTCTCCGCACATGTGGGAGACTGGAGGACGAGGGTTGAACGAGAATGGGGGGCAGGAGTTGAGGTGGCTTCTGAGTCGACTCAAAAGTCACCTCACGTGGGAGAGTGGAGGACCAGGGTTGAAAGAGAGTGGGGGGCAGGAGGAGAGGCAGAGCAGGATAGAAAGCCACAGGACCAGCACAGGAGAAGCATGGGAAAAGGGGCGAGGATGGAAGGATCAAGTGCCAAAACACAAGGACCGGAGGAAGGGGTGGAGGGGCATGAAGGAGTGAAGGGGCATGAGGGCCCTAAAGATCCGAAGCTGCTATTTGAAACAATGGATTTTGATTCGCTGCCGCCAATTCGAGCAAAGAAACTGCCGACACCGCCACCGTCACCATCCCCCCGACACCTACCACCACCAGTATCACCATCACTACCACCACCACTACTGGTCCCTCCTTTTCCCCAGCCTACTTTCCCCCATCTCCATCCCCTCCCATCATCCCTCCCCGTGCCGTGTCCCCCTCCTCTTCCTCACTCTCCTCCTCCTCCTCTCCCTCACTCCCCTCCTCACCACCTTTACTCACCTCCTCCCATCCTCCCGCACTCCCCTCCACCGCTCTCCTCCGCGTTGAATCTTCTGCAGTCCTCTTCCCGAGGGTCTGAGTGGGGCAGGAGGGTTGCAGCTTTAGCAGAAGCTACCACTGCTAGGCTAGCTTTTTCTGAGGGTCGAAGGTACAAGAAGCGCGAGGAAGAGCAGGCACAAGAGAAAGAGCAGGAGAGAGGGCAAGAGGGTCAGCATGAGCACTGGGAACAGCAGCAGCAGCAGCATCTGGGAGGGGCTGAAGCTGATTTTGAGGCGCCAGGGCCTCCTGGGTTTGAGACGTCTAGAGATTTGGTGCCTCCGGGTTTTCATCTGAGAAGAACAGACGGGGAAGGGCAGGAAAAGGCGGGAGGGGAGAGGAGGATGGAGGGGCGAATTAGCTCAGGGGAAAGAGAGGAGGGAGGGAGTGTGGCGGCGCCGACGGCAAGGGATGTGACTTTTGAGAATTCTCAAAAGTCACTCCAATATACGGCGCCGGCGGCAAGGGATGTGGAGCAGGAAGTAGGAAAGTGTGTTTTGAGTCGACTCAAAACACACCTGGCGGCGCCGGCGGCAAGGGACGTGGAGAAGGAAGTAGGAAAGTGTGTTTTGAGTCGACTCAAAACACACCTGGCGGCGCCGGCGGCAAGGGACGTGGAGCAGGAAGTAGGAAAAGAGATGGTGAAGGCACAAGAAAAGAGAATAGATGTGGAGTTATGGAGGGTTCAGGATAGCCTAGAGCAGAGAGACAGGAGGGAGGAGGAGAGGTACGGAGCAATAAGGGGTGAAAAGGAGGTTGAAAGGAATGGAGGGGAAAGCAGAGATAGAGGGAAGCGAGAGAGTAGAGGAAAGGGGGATGAAGAAGAAGAGGAGGAGCAGAAGCGAGATAGGAGGGGTGTTAAGTATGATCGCTGTGAATTTGGTGAGGCAATTGGAGTGGCGACAGAAACAAGGGGTGTGTGTGAGGGGATTGAGAGTGTTAGTGAGAGTGGTGGGAAAATGGATAGATTCAAGGCAGGAGCAGGGGGGGTGAGTGTGCCTGCAGCAGGAGTGATTGTAACGGGAGGAATTCTGACGGGGTTGCAGCTGTTGATGGGAGGTGGGAAGGCGGGAGGAGGGGGAATGGTGGGTGGTGGGGCGAAGGAGGAAACAGTTGAAGCAGGAGGAGGAGGAAAAGGGGACGAACCTAAAGGGGATGGAGGAAGAAAGGGGGTGGCAGGAGAAGGAGGAGGAGGAGAAGAAGAAGAAGCAGGAAGAAGAAAGGGAGGTGCGGAGGAGCAGAAGGGGAGTGTGGGGTGGGGGGCAGGGGAGGGGAGAGCTGACAGGAATGGTGTTGGGAGTGTTGCTGGAGGTAGCGGTGAGAGTGATGTTGATGATAAGGTTGAGGGAGGTAGAGTGAGAGAGAAGGGTGGAGTAGTTGAGATGGTAGGAGCGTTAGTTGGGGAAAGAGAGAGGGGTAAAAGAGAGAAAGATTTAGGTGGGGAAAGGGAGGAGGATGCAGGTGAGATGCTGCAGGAGGGAAAGGTGAAGGAGAGGTGGATGATAGGGAAAAGGGCGAAGGGGGCTGTTTCAGAGAGTTATAGTGACCGTGATGATGATGATGGTGGGAGGAAGGAGAGAGGGGAAGGAGAAAGGGGAGATGTGAAGGAAGGGGAGCAGCAGGAGAGAGAGGAGAGGGAGTGGGAGAAGGGGAGGGGAAGGAAGAGGGAAAGAGAGAAGGCAAGGGAGAGGGAAAGGGAGAGGGAGAGGGAGAGGGAGAAGGAAAGGGAGAGACAGGAGGGTGAGAGTGACAGTGGGTTGGAAGATTTACCCCTTTCAAAGAGACTGGTGCAGGGAGCGGGGGTGAAAGGGATTTCTGCTATAGGGGGAGGAGTAGTGAAGGGGAAGAGAGGCGGCTTTGAGATGGGAGGAGAAGTGGAAGGGCGAAAGGGACATGGTGAGGAGAAAAGGGCGCAAAAGGCGGAGGAAAAAGAGGAGGAAAAGGAAGGGGGACAGGATCCCTGGTCAATTGGGGGTAGTCAAAGTGATTTTGATGCTACTGATGGGGATGCTGATACTGCTGCTGCTGCTGCTGCTGCTGCTGCTGTTACCGCTGATGCTGATGCACCTGCTGCCTATGAATGTGATGTTGCTTCTACTGATGCTGCTAACAGGGACGTGACTCCTGATGCTCCTGCTTCTGCTAGTGCGAATGCTGTTGCTGCTGCTGCTGCTGCTGCTGCCGCTGGTGATGTCGCTGCCGCCACTGCTGCTGCCGCCGCTGATGCTGCTACTGCTGATGCTGCTGCTGATGCTGCTGCTGACGCTGATGCCCCTGGCAGTGATGTAACTCCTGAGGACTTACATGCCGACAGCACTGCGAGCGACGACATTGGTGGTGATGACGCAGGGGTGACATCGCCGGCAGCACTTAAAGCCTCCAGGGGCTCCAGCGCACGTGAGACAAACACGGGGCAGTCCCCTTCAAGACACAGCCTCTCTCCAAAACACGGCCCCTCCCTAAGACATGACCTCTCCCCAACGTATCACAATAAGGTTGGGGAGTTGGCAAGTCGAGGCACAGATGTGGACTTAACCGAATCAAACCGGCAAGCCAGTAATGATGGGAACCAAAAGGGCTCCTCTCACGGTCGCAGAAATGGGCAGATTATCACGGATTTGCATGGTGGCGTTGCTGTGAGGGATAGGGATGGGGGCAGCCGAGGATTGACTGGGGATGGGGGGAGGGAGGATGGTAGTGGGGATGGGTTGAGTGGGGATGAAGAAAGGGAGGGTGACAGAGGTGCGGTTGGAAGAAGTGCAGGCGAAAAGGGTGTGGGTGAGAGGGGTGCAAGCGGGACGAGGAGTGCAGATGGGAATAGGAAAGCCGAGGGGATGGCGGTTGATACTCCCCCGCCCCTGTCAGCCCTCCAGACGTTGTTTAGTAGCAGCAGCAAACCGAGAGCAGCTTTTGAGACATCTCAGAAGGTGGCGCCGCTAAGTAGCAGTGTTGGCAAACCAAGAGAAGCTTTTCAAACGTGTCAGAGTGTTGGCAAACCAAGAGACGCTATTCAGACGTGTCAGAAGTTGGTGCTGGTAAGTGGCAGCAGTCGTGGTGGCGGGGTGGTGGTGCGGAGGAAAGGGGAGGAAGAAGAGGAGGAGGAGGGGGGGGACGGAGACGGAGAGGAGGAGGAAGAGGCGGAGGAAGAGGAAGAAGAGGAGGATGAGGGAGAGGAAGAGGAAAGCGAGGAGGAGGAGGAAGAAGAGGAGGAGGAAGGGGAGGAGAGTGAAGAGGAGGAAGGGAGAGAAGGGGAAGAGGAGGATGTGGAGAGGGAGGGCGGGAGGGGGATGACAAGATGGGTATCAGAGGAGGAGGGTGGGGAGGAGTGGACGGAGGAGAGCGAAGGGCAGGAGAAGGAGGAGCTGCTACTGGGCCGATTTATGCTGAGGGTGAGTGAGTGAGTCCCAGCCTGTTATCTCTTACTAGCTGGTTTTTTAGGATTAGCAGGTTGATTCTCTCCTTGCCGCGTTTCCTACCTCCACCATGAAAAAACTAAACCCCCACCCCTTGCAGGCACTAAGCAGTGGCCAGTGGAGGGAAGTGCCGTTGCCTCTCAGCCACAGGACCCTCTCTCCTCACCTCCCTCCATAGCTCTCTCAGTGCCTCTTTTCCTTCCCCCTTCCTCGCAGGCACTAAGCAGTGGCCAGTGGAAGGAGGTCTCGTTGTCTCTCAACCGCCCTCCTTCCGCTCACTCACAACAGCCCCCTCTCGCTCTATCGCACCTCCCACAAGCACGCCCCCCTCTTCCTCTCCCTCCATCGCACCTCCCACGTTCCACATCCATTCTCCGGCACTCCTCCCCCTCCTTCACCCCTTCGATCCGCCTGGTCTCATGGACGAACACAGCTCACCGCCTCTCTTTCCGCTCCGCGCTTCAAACCGAAGCTGCAGCTTTGGCAGCAGAAGGGCTGGATTCCGAGCCTCGGCATGAGGCTCGGTCGGAGATTCGGCACGTGGCTCGGCAGTCTGTGCAGGCTCCGGCCCAGCTTCCCGAACCTAAGCTGCGTTGGGGGAGTCAGCAGGACGAACTGAAGCTGAGACAAGGGGAGAAAGAATCCCATGGTGTGATGGATCGTGCAAACGAAACGAAACGAGGCCAAGTGGCGCAAGGCGCAGCTCAGCTGGATGGTGCTGCAGCTGAGCCTGAGCCTGAGGCGACTCAAAGGCCTTTGCGCCTGAAAGAACTTGCGTCTCAGAAGAATTTCCTGAAGCGAGCTGTTGCATCCGGCAAGAACGCAGCTAGGCAAAGCGTGGATGTGGATTCCAGTGATGGGGCAAAGGGTGCTGCGGCTACTGTACCATTGGGGTGGAGAGAAAGGGCAGGAGGGAGGGAGAAAGGGTCACGTGGTGTAGCTGGAGTGAGGGAAGCGAGGGGTACAGATGTGTTGCTTGAAGGCCTTGGGAGTGGAAGGGAAGAGGAGAAGGAGCGAAGGGGGAGTCTTTTAGGGAAGGTTGAGAAGGAATGGGGGGAGAAGGAGGGTAGGAAAGAAGAGGAAGTGGAGGAAGAGGAAGAAGAGGAGAAAGAGGGGGATGATGGGGAGGAGCAAAAGGCAAGTGTTGGAGGTAGAGAGGTGAGAGGACAGACGAGGGAGGAGGGAGGGCAGCGAAAGGAGGAGGCGGAAGGAAAGGAGAGGGAGGGAGTGGGAGGGAAGAAAGGGGAGGAAGTGGAGGGGGAGAAAAAGGAGGAGGAGGAGGCGTGTGAGAAGGGTTTCGAGTTGAAAACAGCTGACACTTTGTTAAGAGAGAAAAGTTCTCGAGAGGGGCCGGACGCTAAAGCGAGGAAGTTGGGAGGGTATAAAGGCAGTTATCTGGACTGGGGAGTGGGGTCAAGCGGAAGGGCCAGCGGAAGCAGGGAGATGGGTGCTAAAAACACAAGTGAGAATGTCGTGGCTAGGGGTGGTGGGGTGGTAGGGGTAAGTCATGTTGGTGAGTGTGGGGCGAGAACGGCAGGGGCTGCTCTGGTGAAGGTGCAGGGTGATGGGAAGAGCTTTGAGGCGCCTCGTGAGAGAACGGCAGGGGCTGCTCTGGTGAAGGTGCGGGGTGATGGGAAGAGCGCTTTTATGGCTGCTTTTGAGCAGCGGTTGCAGGCGGAGTTTACTGCGATGCGAAGCGGTGGGGTAGGGTTGGGGATGCAGGGGAAGGCGGGACAAGAGGCAGGTTACGGGCAGGAGAGAATCAAGGCGGAGATTTTCGGAGAGGAAGGTGAGAGGGAAGGGGATGGGAAAGGGAGGGAGAAGAGAGAGGAGAGAGGAGAGGAGAGAGGTGAGGAGAGAAGTGAGGAGAGGCGGAAAGGAGGAGTGGAGGGAGGGGGCATGGGCAGATGGGGCCCTTCTTATTATCACATGGATCAGAGTGTGTATAGGCACAATTCGGGTGCAGAGAGGGGTGTGATTGTAGAGAGGGGCAAGGAGGAGGAGAGAGGCGAGCGGAAGGAGAAGTGGGGGCAACAGCCAACAGCACACACAGGAGAGCATCAGTCAGGCGCTGTAGCACAGAGGAAGGACGAGTGGCGCGAGGAGTGGGTGAGGAGGAAGATGAGAGAGACACAGAGGGAGGTGGAGAGGGAGAGGGAGCGAGAGAGGGAGAAGGAGAAGAGGAGAGCGAGGGAGAGGGGTGAGGAGAAGGGCAAGCACAGGAGGAAGGAGAAGAAGCGAAGCAAGAGTAGTAGGCGGTTTGCAGAATGGTCATCCGATGAGTGGATGGGAGCGGAGGAGAGCGAAGGAAGGGGAGAGGAAAGGGAACCTGGTGAAGGTGTGTCTGGTGCAAGGGAGGGCGATTGGGAGGGTAAGAGAGAGGAGAGCGAGACACAGGAGAGGGAGCAGGGTGAGGGGAGTGATAGTGATTCAAGAGTAGAGAGTAGGGGCAGGAGGGGAAAATGGAAGAGGAAGAAGAAGAAAAGAAGGACGGGTGATGGAGAAGAGGCGGATGGCAGTGGGAGCGAGGAAAGGGACAAGGTGAAGGGTGATGCCAGCTGGCGTGTTCCCATTGGCACAGAGCGGCAGCTTATGCGATACCTGCAGAAAACTTCAGCTGGTTCAATACATGGTTCAGCAGGTGCTGATGCTTCTGCTTCTGCTGCTGTGTCCAGAAAGTCGAAGTCGTCTGAATTGGTTCCGGTCCCACATGCAGCTGCAGCGAGGAGAAAGAAAAAGTCTGCTGGTGTACATTCAGGTGGAGCGAGGACAGAGAGGCAGCTTATTCTGGCTACCAGGCAGGCGGAGGAGCAATCGGGTGGGCTGCTGGGTCACGGGAGTGGGGAGGAGGAGGATGAGGTGGAGAGGGAGGAGGAAGAGGCGGAGCAGGAGGAGGAAGATTATGCGATGAGGGATGAGGGTGATGTGAAGAGAGAGGAAGGAGATGGTTTTGAGAGGGAGCTGGAGGGGAGGGTTTCTGCGCTCAGTGATGGTCATGGGGAGGGTGCGGGGATGCATTGGGGAATGGAGGACGAAGAGGAAGAGGAGGAGAGGAGGAAAATGCGGAAGAAACAGAAGCTGGATGAGGGGGGCTGGGAGGAGAGGCAGGAGAGGAAGGAGCGGAGGGAGCAGGAGAAGAGGGAGAAGAGGGAGAAGAGGGAGAAGAGGGAGAAGAGGGAGAAGAGGGAGAAGAAAGAGAAGGAGAAGAAGGAAAGGGAGAGGAAGCGGAGGGAGAGGTCGACATGTGCGCGCGTGGAGTGGGGCGGATGGGAGTGGAGAGAACATGTGAAGCAAGCAGCGCAGAGAGAGGCACTAAAGCAGCGCGCCGAGGCGTACTATAAAGGGGATAGAGGCGAGGGCGCGGGAGAATGGGACGCAGAGGGCACAGGGCCGGGCGCAGGGGCTTCCATGCGCACTCCCCGCCTGCTCTCCCGGGCTAATCTCTCCCAAGCCAACCTCCCGGGTTCCTCTTCCCGCCTCCCTCTGTTTGCCTCTGGTGGGAGTGGTGGAGTGGGGTTGCTAGGAGGAGGAGGAGCAGCAGCAGGGGAGGAAGCATGGGAGGGGATAGGCGCAGGCACTAGCATGGGGAGTGGTTCTCTTACTCTGATCGGCAGTGCCCGGAGCAGCAGGGCGCTGCTGAGGCAGCTAGCGGTGGGTTCAGAGGGGTTGGAAGGGGTGAGGTTCAAGCAGCTGAAGGGGAGGAAGAAGAACCTGAAGCTGGTGCGGAGTCGGATACACGGATGGGGGCTGCTGTCCCTGGAGCGGATCGAAGCGGGGGACTTTATCATCGAGTATACCGGCACCATCGTCCGTCGATCGGTGAGTGCACTGGGAGGGTAGGCAAAGGCTAGGCAAGTGCTGCTGATACGCTTGGAAGAATCGGAAGCTGGTGAGGAGCCGGATACACGGGTGGGGGCTGCTGTCCCTGGAGCGCATCGAAGCAGGGGACTTCATCATCGAGTATACCGGCACCATCATCCGCCGATCGGTGAGTGCAGTGGGGTGATCAGTGAGTGTTGCTGAATCGTTTTGAAGAGGTTGAAGTTAGTGAGGAGGAGCCGGATACACGGGTGAGGGCTGCTGTCTCTGGAGCGCATTGAAGCAGGGGACTTTATCATTGAATATGCGGGGACTATCATCCGGCGATCGGTGAGTGCTCTGGGATGCATGGGGAAAGGTTGGGATGCATGGAGAAAGGTTGGGATGCATGCTGAAAAGTTTGAATGCTTGGAAAGGTTGGTGCGGAGCCAAAGACTTTGGTGGAGGATGCTGTCTCTGGAGCGGATTGAAGCAGGGGATTTCATTATCGAGTATACCGGCACCATCATCCGGCGATCGGTGAGTGCTGAAACGTTTTGATGGTTGGAAAGAGTTGGATACACGGGTGGGGGATGCTGTCTCTGGAGAGAATTGAAGCGGGGGACTCCATCATCAAGTATACGGGAATAACTATTCGGCGATGGGTGAGTGCTGAGTCGATTTTTTAGTCGACTCAAAAATCGACTCGTCACGTGCTGAAACGTTTGGATGGTTGGAAAGGTTGGTGAGGATGTACGAAGCAGATGGCATTGGCAGCAGCAGCAGCAGCAGCTACCCTACCCTGCGACCATGCAACCATTAACTCTCTTCCCACTCACACCCTTGCCACACCCATCAGGTGTCGGAGCTACGAGAGAGGATGTATGAGGCAGATGGCATTGGCAGCAGCTATCTGTTTCGCGTGGATGAGGACGTGGTGGTGAGTGGTGGGGGTGGTGTGGGATGTGGTGGTGAGTGGTGGAGAGGTAACACTTTTTGTTGTTTTGTTGGATCAGTAGTGTGATGGATTTGGCATGGTAATGTGTTTTTTTTAGACTGCTTGTAAGCATACTCCCTGCTTATTATTAAGCAGTTTAAAGAGTAACCTCAAAAGCTGCTAGGCAAATCCTTCCAACCCCTCTCACCCGTCAAGTGTAAAGGCACATGGAATTGCACATGATTCTCTGATTCTGCCTCTCCATCGCGCTCCCTTTTCTGTGCTTGCTCAGGTGGATGCCACCCGCAGCGGTGGCCTTGCTAGATTCATCAACCACTCGTGTGATGTGAGTATATTTTTCTTAGCACCTCAAAAGTTCTCAGAAGAGAATTCTCATAAATGTCTTGTAATTTATTTCAGTGAAACTATCAAAGAACTAGTACAACGGACTGAATGGGAAGGGTGTTTGTGAAAAAAAAAGCTAAGTTGTGTACATGAACCTGCTTCACAATTGGTGATAGAGGCTTATGAGACTTAATGTGCCCCCATTCTTCCAACTTCCCACACAATCTGTCTCCTTTCCCCTATCCCCCTCTTCCCCCTTTTTCAGCCCAACTGTTACACCAAGGTGATAGTAGCGGACGGGCAGAAGCGCGTGATGATCTACTCCAAGAGAGCTGTTCTTACCATGCATTCCTCCTTACTATGCCCCTCACGCCTTTCACCCTCCTTCGCCCCGCCTCCCTTTGCCCCCCCCGCGCAGCCCAACTGTTACACCAAGGTGATAGTAGCGGACGGGCAGACGCATGTGGTGATCTACTCCAAGAGGGTGATCCAACCCTCCGTACCATGCCTCTCACCCTTTCAATTTTCCTCGTCCCCCCTTTCACCCTTCCTCGTCCCCACTCCCTCTCTTCCCTCCACCCCTCCCTTCCAGCCCAACTGTTACACCAAGGTGATAGTAGCGGACGGGCAGAAGCACGTGGTGATCTACTCCAAGCGGGTGATCCAAGCGGGGGAGGAGCTCAGCTACGACTACAAGTTCCCTATTGAGGACGATGCCAAGATACCCTGCCTCTGCCTCTCCAGGAAGTGAGTGCCCTGTGGTTTGGCCCTCAGCGTTGCTCCCACGTGCCTGTTTTAGTCGTCGTCCTTGCCCTTCCCCGTCATCCAAGCGGGTGAGGAGCTCAGCTACCACTACAAGTTCCCCACTGAGGACGACGCTAAGATTCCCTGCCTTTGCCTGTCTAGAAAGTGAGTCTCCCCTCGTGCATGACCGGTTCCGCGTCTCGTCTTGTTCGTGCTGGTATCAAGCGTGCTCCAAGAGGGTGATTCAAGCGGGGGAGGAGCTCAGATACGAGTACAAGTTCCCCATTGAAGACGATGCCAAGATCCCCTGCCTCTGCCTCTCCAGAAAGTGAGTTCGCTGGTGGTTTGTCCTTGAACCACGTGCCTGGTCCGTGCGCATGCACCATTGGTCATCCAAGTGGGGGAGGAGCTCAGCTACGACTACAAGTTCCCTATTGAGGACGACGCCAAGATCCCCTGCCTCTGCTTGTCTAGGAAGTGAGTGCCCTGTGGTTTGCTGCTCAACGCTGCTCCCACGCGGGGGGGAGGGGGAAGGGGGGTTCTGAGATCTTTGAAAGCAAGTCCCCCTTCGCATCCACCTTCTTGCAACACTAGCCCCGCCACAGCATCCCCACGTGCATGCCTCTTGAGTCGACTCAAAAGTCACCTCGTTTTGAGTCGACTCAAAAGTCACCTCGTTTTGAGTCGACTCAAAAGTCACCTCGTTTTGAGTCGACTCAAAAGTCACCTCGTTTTGAGTCGACTCAAAAGTCATCCACCTTCTTGCAACACTAGCTCCGCCACAGCATCCCCACGTGCATGCCTCTCCCGCTTCCCCACTTTTTCTTTCCTTTCCTCCTGATGTTTGAGCCTACTTCTTGCTTAGTTCACTCAAAAGAATTCCCCACGACCTCGTGCTGCCCTCTCCTTTCTTTCCTCCAGGTGCCGAGGCTACCTCAACTGACCACTCACTCACACAGCATCGGCATCGGCATCAGCATCGGCACCAGCATCGGCACCAGCATCGGCACCAGCATCGGCACCAGCAATGGCATCAGCAACGGCACCAGCAATGGCATCAGCATCGGCACCAGCTTCGACACCAATGTCGGCATCAGCATCAAAATCGCAAGCGATTGTCAACCCAGAGATCACCTACTGGAACCTGGAAAAAAAGCTCAGAAAAGACTGACTCGGCAGCAAATATTTCATGTCCGATCGAAGAGGCAAGACAACAGCTCCTGTGTGTCTTCTCCTATAGGCCCAGCTTTCCACTCGCAAGGCAACAGACCAGCCATTTCCGGATGGTCTTTTGGACCCATGCCCTCACGTTCTCCTCTCCCAAAGTTCATTTTGCCTCAGCTTCCCCATACGTGTGCTTTGGAGACGTCTCAAACTTGTGCTTCGGATCTCTTCATTTTCCCACAGCACCTTTCGCAGCTTCCTGTCCCCATCCATCCTCTCCCATTCGACACAGTTCACGGGTACACTCTCTGAAAAGGAGCAGTACTGTGTGTTGACGTATAATTCCTGACAAGCTACAGTGCAATATACCACTTTCCTATGTAGTTTTTTTACGCAACCCTGCAGCCCATCCGTTTTGGGGGCCTAACTCATCCTCAGTTGAGATAAACACTTAACAGCTTCCAAGGGACCCACTGTGTATGCAGCTGCCACTATATCCATCACAATTTCCCAATAATGGTGCAACTGCCGCCCTCCATTGGAGCAGAAACAGCATGCATTCGGAGCTGAAGCAGCAACGGCATGTGAGAGGAGCATTCTTCCTGATATCAGGCGGAACCTTGCATGAGGTTTTTTCTCCTGGGTTACCCTGCTTCTGCACATGAACCAAATCAGTGGGTTCGTCGACAGTTTTGGGACCTCTCAAAAACTTTTGGGAGATCTTGAAGCTCGACAATTCTGTCGCTCTACATGCACCAGACTATGGGCGCCATTGCGATGTCAGGTGCTTCAATACTTGAATCATCGTTACTGCAATAAGCGTGCTCTGCTGCACTGCACTCGTTTCAGCTCTGAAGATTGCTATGCAGTACGAACAGCAGAGAACGATGGTGCGTTGTATTGCATTGTGTTACCGTACCATTCTGATTAGGTTTTTAGTCAAGGACGAGGAGTTCTTTCAAGCTGCAGCACTTGGCAGGTGTAGCTGCAGACACGACTCAAATCGTTCTCAGGCAGTGCGCAAAAATATCCAGGTGTCTCGATTTAGTACGGTAAATATGTCATGCAACAAAAGGCTTGTACACACGTAGATGGCACCTCTGTACATCGTCTGTTTGTACATAATCTTCAATTTATTCATTTATTAACACAAATAAATTTAGTTGAGCCACTCCAAGCCATTCATCAGCAGCACCATCCATGTACCGGTATAAGAATTTCTTGAAGTACCAAATTAGAAAACGTGTACTCCTCTGCAATCCCGTCGCTGTAACAGCCCTAGACATCCCCAACCTGGATTCCCTTCCCAAACGCTCTTAACCCAACCGGATCGCCCCCTATCTCCTTGCAGGGACAACTTGTGCTGCTGTCTGTCATTTTCATCGTCACATCCCCAATTCCCTAGCTCCAGTGTCTCCCTCCCTCCACTGCCAAGACGTCGCACTCGACAAGTACTGTAACTGCGTTGCATTGCAAGCGTAGTCCCCAGCCCAGCGTGTCCCGCTAGACGACGGCTTCGGAACGCCGCGACGCGAGGCAAAAGTCGATCCGTGCGCCCGAAACAGCCGACATATTCCCCGATTGACAGCCACGTCAATTTTACCGACATATACGCCGACATGTTCCCAGCATCTCACCCTAACGAGTTGCAGCACGGCACGTCGATCCTTGAGAAATCCTCTAGGACGTGTACGGCCCTCCGTCTCTGCTGCCGCACCTCCTCCTTCACCTCCTCCTTGAGTCCTTCTGATTGCAAGCTTTGGATACTCCTGTCCAGACCTCCAGAATCTAACCTTCAAATCTACGGCAGCCATTTCCGCCCCGCCCGCCGCCGGGCTCTCTGTTCTTCTTGTCGCCACGTATGCTACTCGGGCCCTGCGACCAAGAACGACGGATCAATGTCGTCGCATGGCGATGCGACGTCGCCACTACCACGCCCTCAGAATCACTCATAATGACAACCAAAAACGCATGGCCGGCGATACTAGGCTCACGCAGCCGCGAAGTTTCTCCGATCCGGCAGCCGGAAACGCGCCTAACACAGCGCCGCGTAACGCGGCGCCAATCCCGGCGGCGGAGCTTCCGCCGCCCTCATTCCACGTGGACGTGGCGATTGCGGGCGGCGGCCTCGCGGGGCTCGCGCTCGCCGCCGGCCTGCAGTCGCGCGGCGTCGAGGCGGCCGTTTTCGAGGCAGCGCCCGCGCTGCGATCGAGCAACAGCACCGTCCTCGTCATCTGGCCGAACGGCGCCGCCGCCCTCGACGGAATCCTGCCCGGGTTGAGCGCTTCCGTGGCGCGACACGGCACGCTGGTGAACCGGCGCAGCCTCTACAACCGGCGCAAGCCGCCGCCGCCGTCGCCGCCAGGCGGAGCGGAAAGCGGGCCAGGGGAAAGTGGGCGCGCAGAAAGCGGCGGAAGTGGCGCCAGTGGCGCAAGGACAGGTGGCTGAAGTGCGGTTGGGAGCGACGGAGCAGTGCAAAGTTCTGATTGGTTGGTGGTGGAGACGGAAGAAGCGGGGCTGAACATGGTGCCCTGGCGGCGCATTCAAGAGGCACTCGCGTCGACACTCCCTAGGCCTGATTTGGTGCGATGTGGGCACCGCGTGATTGGGTACCGCCCTTTGTTGTTGCAGCCCAGGGGAGGCGGAGAGGCGGAAGCGGGGGAAACGGGGGGGACGGGGGGAGCAGGGGAAGCGGGGGAAGCTGGAAGAGCTTGGGAAGCGGGAGGAGTGAGGGGAGCGGTGGGATTGGGGGAGGGGAGTGAAGAAAGCGGAAGAAGTGAGGTTGAGGCGGTAAATGTGGTCTGTGAGGTCGCGGGTTCGAATCCTGGCGAGAAGCAATTAGTGGTTGTGAGGGCGAAGGTGCTCGTGGGAGCTGATGGAGTGAGATCAGCCGTGAGGGATCAGATGATTGGCGACTCGCCACGTTTTCTCAATCAGATCGCTTGGAATTCGTTCCTGAGCACTCCAGTTGATGTCAGCAGTCCCACTGACGTCAGCAGCTCAGGAGAATCAAGAGAGGCTGCTGTTCCTGAATTGACGGCCCTGATTGACGAGGTGACGGGATGCAGTGCGATCTTCATCACTTTGAAGAACGGCGAGAGATTCTGGCAGGTATGGGCTGGTATGGTCCTGGGAGGTATGGTACTGGAAGGTCAGTAGTGCCAGGTACAGAATGATAGGTACGGTTGTGGCAGGTACGGTTGTGGCAGGTACGGTTGTGGTAGGTACGGATGTGGCAGGTACGGTTGTGGCAGGTGCGGTTGTGGCAGATTCGGTTGTGGCAGATTCGGTTGTGGCAGGTACGGTTGTGGCAGGTACGGTTGTGGCAGGTACGGTTGTGACAGGTACGGTTGTGGCAGGTACGGTTGTGGCAGATTCGGTTGTGGCAGGCACGGTTGTGGCAGGTACGGTTGTGGCAGGTACGGTTGTGGCAGGTACGGTTGTGGCAGGTACGGTTGTGGCAGGTACGGTTGTGGCAGGTACGGTTGTGGCAGATTCGGTTGTGGCAGGTACGGTTGTGGCAGGTACGGTTGTGGCAGGTACGGTTGTGGCAGGTACGGTTGTGGCAGGTACGGTTGTGGTAGGTACGGTTGTGGCAGGTACGGTTGTGGCAGGTAAGGTTGTGGCAGGTACGGTTGTGGTAGGTACGAATGTGGCAGGTAAGGTTGTGGCAGGTACAGCGTCCTCCCTCTCATCCACGTTACCCTGCCTGTGCTGCACCCCTCATTCCTGCTCGCCTTTCCCTTCTCAGATACGATACATGGACTAAGAAATGGACCGCACTCTCCGAGGCACCCCTTTAGCAGGTTTCGGCAGCAAGCAAGGCATTGAAGCCCGCCCACTCGCACTCAACCCCTTCTCTCCAACCTCCCGTTCTCTTATCTCTCCGGTCCTTCAGTTGCGATACGTGGATTACGAAATGGACCCAACACTCCAAGGCACCCCCTTTGCAGGCTTCGGCAGCAAGCACAACATTAAAGCCCGCCTCCTCCCTCTCATCCAAACCAACCTCCCGCACCACCCGCTCTGGGAACGAGCCTTCCAAGAAGCTTCCTCCACCCCGGAGAATCTAATCTTCGAGCGTCGCCAGCTGGACCGTCCGCCGCCCGCTGATTCGTGGAGCGACCCTGTATGCGGTAACAGGGTTGTTCTTATAGGGGATGCGGCTCATGCCATGGATCCTGGGCCGGGGCAGGGGGCACTGACAGGGTTTGAGGATGCTCACCAGTTGTCCCTGTGCTTGGGTGAGGCGGGGGATCCGGACCTGCTTACCAAGCCTGCTGCCGTGGCTGCTGCGGTTCGGGAGTTTGAGGCTCGACGGATAGCGCGATGCGTGAAGGTGCATCGGCATGCGACCGGGCTGATTGGGTATGGGGAGGAGGGGAGGGAGTTCAAGAGCAGGAGTGTGGAGCATCAGATGAAAGCTAGCATGGAGTTGACGAGGTGGATGTACTCTTACCCTGACAAGATCGATGGCGATCCAGAGTCCAATTTTTTCAAGTGATTCTGGATTGTTCAGTCTGAAAAACAAGTTTTTAAAGCTGCTGTTGAGTTATTCAGGCTAGACGGTTCCCAGCAAGGGCGGATTGTGCATTGATTGGGAGGAGTTCATGGGGGAAGGAGGCCAGTGAAAGGTGAGATTGAATCAAATAAAGATTGTACCATATAAAGATGCGTTAGGAATGACCGAGTGATTAACAGCGATTCAGCTTCATAAAGCGTACTGTACTTTCAACTGTCACAACCATCTTGACTGCCTGTGTGCTGCTCCTCTCACTCGTCTCATCTCGATAGATGCTTCCTCCCCCTCTCCAGTTTCTCACCACCACCATTCACACGTGTGCACGTCGGTCTCTAGAATTTCACCATCACGTGCATTACAAGCCACGCCTTCGCCGCTAAAATCTCACCATTCCAACTGCATTAGTGTTACGTGTGCAATTGAGTGAACGAACGAGAATTGCACTATCGAAGCAAGCGTACACAGGGCTGATTTTATCAGGGTAATTACCCTGATTTCAGGGTGATTTCAGGCTTTCCACTTCGTGGAGACTGAAATTTCAGAGTTATTGAATTTCCAGCCCTGATCCAATCAGAGTAATAGTTTAGCTATCCCTGATTTTGAGTACAGTGTAACAGACTAGGCTGTTAGTGGACCCTGACTTAACAGAGTATCGACTGTGTGGACCCTGACTTATCGAGAGGAAGTTTCTCGGAAGTTTCCTTCCGATGACCCCGCCTTGGATTGATCGCAGTGATCCCCCCACATGTGCGTAATCCCCCCCCTTCCCGCTTTATCGAGACGAAGTTTCGTTCTGATCGAAACTTCGAGACTATATGGAGAGTGGGGATATTTTCCCCGACTTATCGCAACAAAGTTTCTCGAAAGTTTTCTTCCGATGACCCCGCCTTGGATTGATCGCACTGATCCCCCCACATGTGCGTAATCCCATTCCTTCCCGCTTTATCGAGACGAAGTTTCTTCGAAACTTCGTTCTGATCGAAACTTCGAGACTTTATGGAGAGTGGAGATATTTTCCCCGGTAAAAAAACGCGCGTTACTACTCTGATGTTCAGTTCTCGACCCTGAACAATCAGTGTTAACTACTTTACAACCCTGAGCAATCAGGGTACTGCTTTTCTGGAAAATGTGCACCCATAATAGAGGGGGAAAATTTTCCCCAAAATCAGGGAAGCTTAAAATGAAACGTCAGCCCTGAGCGTACAATGAGCGAAGGCATGAGCGAAGAATATATAGCGAAACTACAGTGGTAACGGTAATGGACTGTGGTTCTCGCGCGACGGGCCTGGGACTGAGGTTGGGAAAAAGTGTCGAAGTGGAGGCCCGGAGCGCGGGTTACCCGCCGAGCCGTGAGGTCGGGGTGCGATGTGCGAAGGTGGCGGGCGGATTGTCGATGCGAGGGTTGCTAGTGGTAACGGTGCTGACTGTGGTGCTACAGTGATGTACGCGTTGAGCAGGGATGCGAAGTAAGGAAAAAGAAATTTCCTTACAATTAGAAACAATGGCACATCGTAACTTTCGCCGCTACAAACACGGCTTGGGAACCCCGCAATGCGAGGCAAGAAACGCAGGTCTCACAGGGCCGTTCTGCGATCCGCGCTCCCGAAACCTCTGGCATATTCTCCCAATCGTTGACAGCCACGTAATCTCAGAGAATCTCATCATATCCAGCTGCAGCGCAGCACCTCAAACTCCCTAAGGACGTCTCTGGCCGTCTTTTGCTGCCGTCTTTTTGGTTGGCAGGCAGTGCCTGCCAGCCTCGCCTGCTCCGCTCTTCCCCTCCTCCCTAGACGAAATTCCGTCCTCCGAAGCTTTCTCCTCACCGGCGTGCCTTTCCCGGAAGCCCTTGAAAATGTGTGCGACCCCGGGTCGCCATGGAAGTGGGACTCCCTCCCCCTCTCTCTTCCACCGAAATAGGAACATTAAATCTCCCACCTTCAAGCTAGATTCTCCTACCCACACCTTCTTAGAATCAACTCGTCAGAGCTATGGCTGCGCTTCTCGCCCCACCCGCCATGCCACTCTCTGCTCTTCGTGTCGCCACGGCAGCGACATGCGCGACTCGGACCCTGCGCCTCGGAACGATGGATCAGTGTCGTCGCATGACGATGCGACGTCGCCACTACGCCTCCGGGATCAGTCATTATGACAACCAAGCAGGCATGGCCGCCGATAATAGGCTCACGTTGCCGCGGGGAAGCTCCTCCAATCCGCAAGCAGCCAGAAACGCGTCGCACACGGCGCAAAACGCGGCGCCAAATCCGACCGCCGCGGCGGAGCTTCTGCTGCCCTCATTCCACGTGGACGTGGCGATTGCTGGCGGCGGACTCGCGGGGCTCGCGCTCGCCGCCGGCCTGCAGGCGCGCGGCATCGAGGCGGCCGTTTTCGAGGCAGCGCCCGCCGTGGTGCGATCGAACAACAGCACCGGCACGATTCTCGGCATGTTTCCGAACGGCTACAAGGCGCTCGAAGGATTAAAGCCCGGGCTCGGCAACGCTGTGATTGCGAGCGGATCACCGCTCACAAAAACTAAGTTAAGTTTCCGAGATTTTCCGGCGGATATAACAGGTTCTGATTCGGTCAACGCTTCTACCAGCGGACCCGCCACTAACGATGCTGCTATGAAAGGAACCAGCGAAAATTGCGATGGCTGGGTTGTGATGGAAGCGGCGCCGCAAGAGCAGACAATCGTGGGGTGGGCGCGAGCCCAAGAGGTACTTGCCTCGTCTCTAACGCAACCCGAGAGTATTATGCACGGGCATCGCGTCGTGGCGTACTACCCCGTCGTCGCAGGAATCCCTGTTGGCAGCGGCCTGCTGGGGGGTGGTGGTGGATCGGAGAGCGGTGATGGCGTGGGCGACGGAGAGGTGGAAGCAGTTGATGTGGTGCTCGAGGTCGCGGGTTCAAATCCCGAAGCTGACGCACATAATTCCAGCTTTGCTGATCTGGAAGGAGCTGAATCTGCGTATGAGGCGGGTGCGGTGGAACAGCAGCGCCAACTGGTGGTGATTCGTGCGAAAATTCTGGTTGCAGCGGATGGCGTGCGATCAGTTGTGTGAAATCAGATGATCGGCGACTCGCCTCGGTATCTGGAGCAGATTGCCTGGAACGCGCTTGTGCCAAACCAGCTGAGCGGGGAAGTGTACCAACAAGAAAATCAAACAGTCAATTTTGTCAGGGATAATACTACGGGTTACCAGCTGTTTTTGATCGATGACGGCCACGGGGAGACTTTTTGGCAGGTAACGCTCTCTTTCAGCATACATTTTTCATCTACTTTGCGCACTCTATCTCCGTGAATTTCTTCCTGAACCAATTCAATTCAGCCCAACCCATCCATGCCACATCATTTTGCTTTATCATCCGCTCTTCGCTTGCACGTGCTCGCACAACTGATGCTGGCATAACCATCCCCCATTCTTTCATTGCGAAACCACCAAATTGTTTCAGCAACCACACACACTTGCGTTGTGTTAACAACAGTTTGTACACCACTTACAGAATTTGTGCTACCCTAACCTTCTTCCCAATGTCAGGTTAGTGCTGCTGACCCTGATGGCCACCTCAAGGCCAAGCTCGAACAAACACCCTTCGGTGTATTCGGCAAGCCAGGTGTAAAGGGTCGTTTGATGTGCCACGTCAGCAAGAACATTGCAGACCCCTCAGCACACGACACCTGGCATAACATACTCAAGGTGGCTACCAGCACTCACTCCTGTAACATCTACGAGCGGTGGATGATGGACCGGCCTCCTCCAAAGGATTCTTGGAGCGACTCTAAATGTGGTAACAGGGTTGTTCTTATGGGGGATGCCGCACATGCCATGCATCCCGGCCCAGGGCAAGGGCCTCAGATTGCCTTTGAGGATGCACACCAGTTGTCCCTCTGCCTTGCTGACATCAAGGATGTGCTTGCCGAACCTGCTGCCGTGGTTGCTGCGGTTCGGGAGTATGAGGCTCGGCGGATCGATCGGTGTGTGAGAGTCCATGCATTCGCCACTGCATTGCATGGGTTTGGAGAGGAGGGGAAACTTTGGAAGGCACTTTCTCCATCCGAGAGAAGAAAGAGGATTTTGGACTTTCAAAAGTGGGTCCATGCGTATCCAGGCAAGATCAAAGGTGACCCTGAATATGAATCCACCTACTTTACTTGATTATCCAACTGCACAAAGGTTATTGACCCTAGATGAATATGATTCCGTTGGGCTCTGGATGGATTCCTCTAGGAAATTGCAAGAATGTTTCTGCTTTCATTCTCCCAAACAGAGCCCTTGCATTGGATGCCAATTGTTTGTTTTGTGTGGAAGCACATTTTCGAATATTTATATTTGTAAGGTTTGGGTCGATTTGTACGGTAATACGAGAACATTAGGTGCATTGTCTTCATGAGCATCTAACGCTCCTTCTAGAGCTGCAGGTGTATTTATGTTACACTTTGTTTTAACATGGAGTTCAACACAAAGATCTTTGTTTTTCCACATGAAAAAAGTGGTGTAGTTTTCGACATTCGCACCGTCATAACCCCCAACTCTCAACGTCCCCATTCACGACTTCTCATGACCCTTCCCAAACGTTCCCAACCCAACCGGATCGCCTCCCATCACCCTGCTGGGACAAGTGCTGCACCTGTCATTTCCTTCATCGCGTCAATCTCAAGGTGATTTCTCTAGAGCGTCCCCCTCCCTCCCCCCACCGCCATATTGCAAGCGTACACCGAAACTGCGATAATTCCACACCCCTTATCTTCACGCCCGGGGGTAGCCACCCTCATTTAGTCTGATTTTGAGAGTGGTTCACAACATTATTTGAATTATATAGGTTACACTCACGCAATCCCGTGGCGAGATTTCCCGAAGTACAAGCATGATGTGGAGATTTTCCCCTCTCAATCTGACTGTAAAGTGTAAGTTTCGTGAGGCTGGACGTTCCGGTAATTTAATTATAGACCCATATTTTCAGGGTGCCCGTGTCTTCGAACCAAAAACTATTTAGGGTGTCTGGCTAGGGAAGCGTACGAGGTGTGGAATTATCGCAGTTTCGGTGTACCATACCCCCAGCGTGGCCCACTACACGACGGCTTCGGAAAGCCGCGACGCGAGGCAACAGACGAACGAAGGCATGCCTCATAGCGAGGCGTTATGCGATACGTGCGCCCAAAATCCGCCGACATCATATTCCGACAATCGGATTGACAGCCACGTCAGTTTTACCGACAACAACGCGGACATGTTCCCAGCACATCACCCTTATCATATCGATGCAGCGCGACACGTCGACTCCTCGGGGACGTGTACGGTCTTCCATCTCTGCTGCTGCCGCACCTCCTCTTTCAATCTTTTCCCTTGGCGATTTTTTCTCTTCCCAAGATTCCTCCTTATCGCCACCTCGCCTTTGCCTAAAATTGCCGGAAATGCGTGGACGCCGTCCCTCTCTCTCTTCCCTCTCTCGCTTTTGATACTCCTGTCCAGACCTCACTATGATTCAACCATCATTACTATGGCAGCCGTTTTCGCCCCACCTGCCGTCGGGCTCTCTGCTCTTCCTGTCGCCATGGCGACTTGCGCGACGCGGATCCTGCGACTCGGAATGAGTCGTATGGTTCAACGCCGTCGCATGACGATTCGACGTCGCCAGCATGCCTCCAGTGGCAACCAAGATGTGTCCCTCCGAGGCATGGCGGATAGTAGCCTCACGCAGCCACAAAGCTCCTCCAGTCCGGCAGTCAGAAATGCGCCTAACACAGCGCGTGAAGCGGCGCCAATCCCGGCGGCGGAGCTTCCGCCGCCCTCATTCCACGTGGACGTGGCGATTGCTGGCGGCGGACTCGCGGGGCTCGCGCTCGCCGCCGGCTTGCAGGCGCGCGGCGTCGAGGTGGCCGTTTTCGAGGCAGCGCCCGCGCTGCGATCGGACAACAGCACCGTCCTCGTCATCTGGCCGAACGGAGCCGCCGCTCTCGACGGAATCCTGCCCGGATTGAGCGCCACGATGGCGCGACACGGCACGCTAGTCAAACGGCGCAGCCTGTGCAACCGCCGCAAGCCGCCGCCGCCGCCAGGCGAAGCGGAAAGCGGGCTGGGGGAAAGTGGGTGCGCGGAAAGCGGTGGAAGTGGCAGAGGCGGCGCAAGGGCAGGTGGCGGAAGTGCGGTTGGGAGCGACGGAGCAGTGCAAAGTTCTGATTGGTTGGTGGCGGAGACGGAAGAAGCGGGGCTGAACATGGTGCCCTGGCGCCGCATCCAAGAGGCACTCGTGTCTGCACTCCCTAGGCCTGATTTGGTGCGATGTGGGCATCGCGTGGTGGGGTACCGGCCTGTGTTGACACGCAGGGGTAGCGGGGAGGGGGAAGCGGGGGACGCGGGGGGGACGAGGGGAGCATGGGAGGCGGGGGGAGCGGGAAGAGCAGGGGGAGCAGGGGGGATGAAGGGAGCGGGGGAACCGGGGGAGAGGAGTGAAGTAGGTGAAGGAAGTGAGGTGGAGGCGGTAGATGTGATCTGTGAGGTCGCGGGTTCGAATCCTGGCGAGACGCAAATAGTGGTTGTGAGGGCGAAGGTGCTGGTGGGGGCTGATGGGGTTCGATCAGTTGTGAGGGATTAAATGATTGGCGACTTGCCGCGGTTTCTCAACCAGATTGCATGGAATTCCTTCTTCAGTAGCACTCCAGTTGATGTCAGCAGTCCCGCTGACGTCAGCAGCTCAGGAGAATTAAGAGAGGCTGTTGTTCCTGAATTGACGGCCCTGATTGACGAGGTGACGGGATGCAGTGCGATCTTCATCACTCTGAAGAACGGCGAGAGATTCTGGCAGGTATGGGCTGGTATGGTCATGGGAGGTATGGTACTGGCAGGTCAGTAGTGCCAGGTACAGAATGACAGGAATGGTTGTGGCAGGTACGGTTGTGGCAGGTAAGGTTGTGGCAGGTACGGTTGTGGCAGCAGGTACGGTTGTGGCAGGTACGGTTGTGGCAGCAGGTAAGGTTGTGGCAAGTACAGCGTCCTCCCTCTCATCCGCGTCACCCTGCCTGTGCTGCACCCCTCCTTCCTGTTCGCCTTTCCCTTCTCCTCAGATACGACACGTGGACTAAGAAATGGACCGCACTTTCCGAGGCACCCCTTTAGCAGGTTTTGGCAGCAAGCAGGGCATTAAAGCCCGCCTCCTCGCACTCAACCCCTTCTCTCCAACCTCCTGTTCTCTTAGCTCTCCCTTCCTTCAGGTGCGGTACGTGGATTACGAAATGGACCCAACACTCCAGGACACCCCCTTTGCAGGCTTCGGCAGCAAGCAGAACATTAAAGCCCGCCTGCTCCCTCTCATCCAAGCCAACCTCCCCCACCACTCCCTCTGGCAACGAGCCTTACAAGAAGCTTCCTCCACCCCGGAGAATCTAATCTTCGAGCGCCGCCAGCTGGACCGTCCGCCGCCCGCTGATTCCTGGAACGACCCTGTATGCGGTACCAGGGTTGTTCTTATAGGGGATGCGGCCCATGCCATGGATCCTGGGCCGGGACAAGGGGCACTGACAGGGTTTGAGGATGCTCACCAGTTGTCCTTGTGCTTGGGTGAGGCGTGGAATCCGGACCTGCTTACCAAGCCTGCTGCTGTGGCTGCTGCGGTTCAGGAGTCTGAGGCTCGGCGGATAGTGTCAAACTATATATGTGTTAGTTCTGTGTAGGCCATAGTGGGGTAGCCCATATGGGGTACAACGTTTTTTTTTTTTTTTTTTTTTTTTTTTTTTTTTTTTTTTTTTTTTTTTCGGGCCCACCATACTTAGCTTCTGACCGCGGTTACCGCGTTACCCCACTACCCTGCATCGCGCTGCCCCGCGCACGCCCTGCCTTGCCCCGCGTCGCGCTGCCTAGCGCACGCCCTGCCCTGCCCTACCTGGCGTCACCCTGCGCCAGCGTCCTGCCCTGCGCCGGCGCCCTGCCCTGCGCCAGCGCCCTGCCCTGCGCCGGCGCCCTGCCCTGCGCCGGCGCCCTGCCCTGCGCCGGCGCCCTGCCCTGCGCAGGCGCCCTGCCCTGCGCCGGCGCCCTGCCCTGCGCCAGCGCCCTGCCCTGCGCCAGCGCCCTGCCCTGCCCTGCGCCTGCGCCCTGCCCTACGCCCGAACTGCGGCCCTGCGCGTCGCACCCTACGGCAGCCTGGGCGTCGCGCGCTGCTGCCCCGCGCGTCGCGCTCTGCTGCAGCCCGCGCGTCGCGCTCTAAGGCAGCCCAAGAGTCGCGCGCTGCTGCCTCGCGCGTCGTGCTCTGCTGCAGCCCGCGCGTCGCGCCCTAAGGCAGCCGGCGCGTCGCGCTCTGCTGCCCCTCGCGTCACGCGCTGCTGCAGCCTACGCCAGCGCCCTGCCCTGCGCCAGCGCCCTGTCCTGCGCGCGCTGGCGCCCTGCCCTGCGCCAGCGCCCTGCCATGCGCCCGCGCCCTGCCCTGCGCCAGCGCCCTGCCCTGCGCCAGCGCCTTGCTAAACCCAAAATAAAATTAAATAATTATTATTTAAAAAAGGCCCTAGGTGCTTCTGCCCTAGGAGCTATTCCCTACTACTGCCCTGCTGTGGCCGCGCGCCGCCCTGCTGCTCTTACTGCTGCTGCTGCTGCTACTCGTGCTACTGCCTTCGCTCCGTACTGCCCTAGAGGTCGCTCTCCTCCTAGCTTGCCCGCCATGACTTCCCTTTGTCGTACCGGTGGGAGTGGTGACGGCGGTGGTGGCAACAGTGGGAGTGGTGGCGGCCGTAGTAGCGGTCACTGTGGCGCTGTTTGGTGCGGAGTGTCTGGCGGTGGCCAGATGCAGCTACGGCGGCGTCCGACCCTTATGCCCCGGCAGCTTCGTGAGTGGCTTTACCAGCGTGGGCCGTCTCCGAGTCCGGGTCGCTGCCCGTACGTCATTCGCACAGGTCGTCAAGCTGGTGAGACCTGTGGGACACCTGGTCACGCACAGTTCCGCTGCTTCGCCTATTTGACTGACGCCTGGCGCACAGAGTTTGGCGACGAGGCTGAGATCCCCCCCTGGCTTGAGCTGCTTAGGTCGGGCGTTGCTGTCTTTGCTGTAGACTATGACGCCATCCTTACTGTCATGTCTGCTTTTCCTGGTGGTGCTGGCGTGACTGTCACCTGTGTGTGCAGTACGACCCTGGTATAGAGGTTGCTGCTCTAGGTGCTAGTGAGGCTGCTTCCTTAGGTGCTAGCGAGTCTGCTTCCTCAGGTACTGCGCCTGCTCAGGCCTTGCACACCTTCACGCTTGACTTAGGTGCTTCCCGCTGTTTCTTTCGTGACAGTACTGCTGTCTCTCTGGCTGACCCCTCAGGGGGCCCAGTTCTTGCACGGTCCACCACTGTGCTTCCGTGCCCGGCGGTTCCGTCTGGCTCACTGACAGGCTTCCACCTCCCCTCGTTCTCTACGAATTTGGTGAGCAACGCAATTCTCCAGGACCAGTGGGTTGACACCTTTACCCCTAGAGGACAGCGTGTGGCGATCTGTACGTGCTCCCGGACTGGCCGCCACCTGGCCACGTTTACCCGTCGGCCAGGGTCGAGTCTTTACTCACTGACGACTGCCCTCCTCAGGTAGCTGCTACTGGTCAGGTGTCTGCGTCAGGTCAGGTAGCCTCCCCTTGTGAGTGTCGCTCCTTGTCGCACCAGACTCTTCTCTAGCACCACCGTCTGGGTCACCTCTCCTTGCCACGTCTACGTGGCATGCACCGTCGCCTCCTTGTGTCTGGTCTTCCCAGGTCTCTCCCTCCCCTCCCTGCCTCGCCTGCGCCGCCCTGCCTTCCTTGCGTCGAGGGGCGGCAGGACGCCGCTCCTCACTCCTCCTTGTTTCCCCCGACAGAGGCTCCTCTGCAGACCCTCCACCTGGACGTGTGGCACCCAGCCCGCGTTCGTGGACAGGGCGGTGAGCGGTACTTTCTGCTGGTTGTCAACGACTACTCGCGGTACACCACGGTCTTCCCCTTGCGCACCAAGGGTGAGGTCCCTGATGTCCTGATCCCTTGGATCCGAGCAGTTCGTCTCCGGCTCCGCCGCAGGTTCCGCCAGGACCTTCCTTTCCTGCGTCTGCACTCTGACAGAGGTGGTGAGTTCACCTCCGACCTCTTGCGGGCCTTCTGTCAGGGGGAGGGCATCGAGCAGTCGTTCACGCTTCCGGGCTCACCACAGCAAAATGGGGTTGCTGAGCGCCGCATTGGCTTAGTCATGGAGGTCGCTCGTACCTCCTTGATTCATGCGGCGGCTCCCCATTTTCTCTGGCCCTTTGCGGTCCGGTACGCCGTGCAGCAGCTCAACCTCTGGCCCCGTGTCTCCTTACCGGAGACCTCGCCACACTGCATTGGACGGGGGAGGTTGGCGTGCGTCGCGTTTCTGGGTCTGGGGTGCTCGTGCCCTTGTCCGCGATACGTCTGCGGACAAGCTCTCCTCCCGCACCATTCCCTGTGTCTTCCTTGGCTTTATCCCTGACGCGTCTGGCTGGCAGTTTTACCACCCCACCTCGCGCCGTGTCTTCCCCTCTCAGGACGTCACCTTTGACGAGTCGGTTCCTTTCTACCGTCTCTTCCCCTACCGCACTGCCCCTCTCCCTCCCCTGCCGCTTTTCCTCGCTCCAGGCCCCCCTACGGTAGACCCCCTCCCACCTCAGGGTCCTGCTCCTTCAGGTGTATCTCAGGTAGACCCGCCCCCCTTGGCTGAGCCTGCAGGGGTCACTAGCGACTCAGGTGCTGCTGCGGGAGGTACTGCTGGGGGTGCTGCTTCTGAGGGTGCTGAGCCTGCGCGTGAGGTGCTGGGGAGTGCGGAGCCTGGGGGTGCTGAGCCTGCGGCTGCGGAGTCTGGGGGTGCTGAGCCCGTCCGTAAGGTGCCGGGGGGTGCGGAGCCTGGGGGTGCTGAGTCTGCTAGCGTTCCTTTGGGTCTCGTTTCACGACGCGGGCCTGTCTCACCACAGCAGGCACGAGAGTGGCTTGCGTCGCGTACCCGCCTGCGGAGTCGTGCTGCTGGAGCTGCTTGTCGTGGAGGCGCTGGGACTGCTGGTGTCTCTGGTCCTGGAGGTGCTCGTACTGGAGGTACTGGAGCTGCTGGGACTAGTGCTCCTCCTGGAGCTGGAGGTGTCGGTTCCGGGGGTGCTGCTGCTGGAGGTACTGGGGCTGGAGGCCCTGTAGCTGGTGCTGTCGACCCTGGAGTTGGAGACCCTAGAGCTGGAGGTGCCGGTTCTGGGGGTGCTGCGGCTGGAGGTACTAGGGCTGGAGGCCCTGGAGCTGGGGGTGCTGAGTCTGCTGTCGTTCCTCTGGGTCTCGTTTCACGACGCGGGCCTATCTCACCACAGCAGGCATGAGAGTGGCTTGCGTCGCGTACCCGCCTGAGGAGTCGTGCTGCTGGAGCTGCTTGTAGTGGAGGCGCTAGGAGTGCTGGTGTCTCTGGTCCTGGAGGTGCTCGTACTGGAGGCACTGGAGCTACCGGGACTGCACCTGCTCCTGGAGCTGGAGGTGTCGGCTCTGGGGGTGCTGATGCTGGAGGTACTGGGGCTGGAGGCCCTGGAGCTGGTGCTGTCGACCCTGAAGTTGGAGACCCAGTAGCTGGAGGTGCCGTTTCTGGGGGTGCTGCTGCTGGAGGCCCTGGCGCTGGTCCT